ACATTTATCACTCCTGTACACCTTTATGTCTATTTATGTCTAAGGGATGTTTCGCACGAAAACAGTGGCTAACTGTGTGTGTGTGTATATGTGTGTGTGTGTGTGTCTGTCTGTCTGTCTGCCCCTACAGGTGGCTGGAGTGTGTGGGCGGAGTGGGCGGAGTGCAGCAGTGACTGTGGTGGTGGCGTTCAGACCCGGAGCCGTACCTGTCAATCCCCCTCGGAGGAGTCATACCTGTGTGAGGGAGTACTGGAGGAGGGAAGGCCCTGTAACCCTCAGCCCTGCAGTGGTGAGCTTGACAAAGACCCTGCCCGAACCTGTGTGTGCGTACATGTGTGTGTATGTGTGTGTTTTGTTTCTGTGTGTGCGTGAGTGCGTGCATGGGTGTGCATAAGTGGGCACGCGCGTGTGTCTGTGTGTGTGGATTAGTGATGCGCGGGTTGACTCATGAACCGCAGTCCCCGCGGTTATATCCCCGCGGTTATGTCCCCGTGGTTATATCCCTGCGGTTATGTCCCCGCGGGGAGGGCGGGCTTAGGCCACGACATATTGTGTAGATGAAGGGCGGGTGGGTGGAAGCGGATTGAATAAAGAGAAAACAAATCCATAAATGTATAATTCTTGTGTAATTTCTATTTATAGGCTAGATTGAGGTTTTTCTTTCATTATTTTAGGCTATCTGGCATTAGTGCATAAACCTAAGCTTTAGGGCCTAGCAGTACATGAGCCAAATAGCCTACACACCAATCACCTAATGCTTTTGGGAACAGGCACAAAAAGGGGAATTCTACCACAGAGGAAAAAAGGGGACATTGTGGGGAAGTTTTTTTTTCAATTAGCCAAAAGTGTAAAAATGGGAGGGTTAAAAAAGGGGGAAAGAAAAAAAAGAAGGGAGGGGAAAAAAGGAAAAAAAAAGTAATGTTTTGGCCGGGGAAAGTTTGATTTTTTTTGGGTTTGAAAAAGAAAAAAGAAGATGTTTAACCCGTGCGGGGGGGATGTTGTTTTGTTTTCATGATGGGGCGTTTTATATAAGTTTGACAGTCCCCAAAGATGGGGGATTCAAATGGCCTAAGGAAAAAATTGGGGGAAACCCTGTAGCCTATTGTTAAAGAGGGTTTAAAGGAATTTTGAAAAAATCTGTCCATTTGGGGGTGTAGGTCTTTTAACCTTTCCCCTAGCCTTAATTAAATTTTCCGGGCAGAATAAAGGGCATTTTCTTGCGGGGGGGGAAAAAAATATGTTTTTTATTTTTTTGACCCACCCTTGGGAGAAATTTAAAAATGCGCGTGTTAGATACCTTTCCTGTGAGGTGGTTTATTTTTATCAGAAATTCATAAAAAGCTGGATTTTGTTTCAATTAGAAAAAAATATGCACCCAAACCCCCAAATGAAATTTATCTGAAAAAAGGGGTTGGGGGTTTTTTTAACAGCTTTTTTTTTCCCTTAAAAAACCGGCCCAAAATTTGATTTTTTTCTTTGGGGAAAATTTTGCACGGGAAAATCTTTCCCTTTTTTTTTTTTCTTTTGGCTTTTTATCCGGGCCCTCCCTAAACGTTGTTGTTTCGTGAAAAAAAAAAAAGAAAAAAGAGATCACAGGAACTTTACTGATGTAAAAAACGGGATTTAAAGGGCCCATTCATTCTATCGATTTAGGGACTTTTTTGGGTGGGGCGGGCGGGTTTTTTTTTTAGTCTTTTTTAGGACAACATATAAGACGAAGGGGAAGCTGCATGTTTTAAATTTTAAGGGGAACGGGTTGATAACAACTAGCCAAAACCAACTGTCAAAAAAAATTATTAAAGCAAAAAAAAAACATATTCTAAAAAAGGAAAAAAAAAACCCTTTGAAACCCACGGGTAAAAAAAAAATTTTCCTTCCTTTTGCCCACTTTTTGGAGCACCCCCCAAATGAGAATTGCGGGACGGGGAAATTTCTGAAAAAAAACAATAAAATTTATCACCCTTACACTAAATATAGACATTTGGACTAAAAAAAATAAAAATCCCAAAAAGGTTTTTGGAAAATTTTTAAAAGCAAAAAAACAATCTAATCGGGGGTAAAAAAAAAAAAAATTCCTTTTTAAACCCCTTGCCCCAAAAAATATTTATAAGTTTCTTTATAGGTAGATGAGGTTTTCTTTCATTATTTTAGGCTATCTGGCATTAGTGCGTAAACCTAAGCTTTAGGGCCTAGCAGTACATGAGCCAAATAGCCTACACACCAATCACCTAATGCTTTTGGGAACAGGCACAAAAAGTTAACATCTATCCACAGAGGCAAAAAGGACATTGTCAAAGTTTAATTCAATTAGACAAAAGCTGTGAAATGGAGAGTTGAAAATGAAGAGAAGGGAGGGTCAGAAAAGTCATGTTTGGGAAAGATTTGATGAAGTGGTGAAAGAAGATGATAGCAGTGTCATGATTGTGGGGCGCTATATACAGTGGGGGAAAAAAGTATTTAGTCAGCCACCAATTGTGCAAGTTCTCCCACTTAAAAAGATGAGAGAGGCCTGTAATTTTCATCGTAGGTACACGTCAACTATGACAGACAAATTGAGATTTTTTTTCTCCAGAAAATCACATTGTAGGATTTTTTATGAATTTATTTGCAAATTATGGTGGAAAATAAGTATTTGGTCAATAACAAAAGTTTCTCAATACTTTGTTATATACCCTTTGTTGGCAATGAAACAGGTCAAACGTTTTCTGTAAGTCTTCACAAGGTTTGCACACACTGTTGCTGGTATTTTGGCCCATTCCTCCATGCACATCTCCTCTAGAGCAGTGATGTTTTGGGGCTGTCGCTGGACAACACAGACTTTCAACTCCCTCCAAAGATTTTCTATGGGGTTGAGATCTGGAGACTGGCTAGGCCACTCCAGGACCTTGAAATGCTTCTTACAAAGCCACTCCTTCGTTGCCCGGGCGGTGTGTTTGGGATCATTGTCATGCTGAAAGACCCAGCCACGTTTCATCTTCAATTCCCTTGCTGGTGGAAGGAGGTTTTCACTCAAAATCTCATGATACATGGCCCCATTCATTCTTTCCTTTACAGGTATCAGTCGTCCTGGTCCCTTTGCAGAAAAACAGCCCCAAAGCATGATGTTTCCACCCCCATGCTTCACAATAGGTATGGTGTTCTTTGGATGCAACTCAGCATTCTTTGTCCTCCAAACACGACGAGTTGAGTTTTTACCAAAAAGTTCTATTTTGGTTTCATCTGACCATATGACATTCTCCCAATCCTCTTCTGGATCATCCAAATGCACTCTAGCAAACTTCAGACGGGCCTGGACATGTACTGGCTTAAGCAGGGGGACACGTCTTGCACTGCAGGATTTGAGTCCCTGGCGGCGTAGTGTGTTACTGATGGTAGGCTTTGTTACTTTGGTCCCAGCTCTCTGCAGGTCATTCACTAGGTCCCCCCGTGTGGTTCTGGGATTTTTGTTAACCGTTCTTGTGATCATTTTGACCCCACGGGGTGAGATCTTGCGTGGAGCCCCAGATCGAGGGAGATTATCAGTGGTCTTGTATGTCTTCCATTTCCTAATAATTGCTCCCACAGTTGATTTCTTCAAACCAAGCTGCTTACCTATTGCAGATTCAGTCTTCCCAGCCTGGTGCAGGTCTACAATTTTGTTTCTGGTGTCCTTTGACAGCTCTTTGGTCTTGGCCATAGTGGAGTTTGGAGTGACTGTTTGAGGTTGTGGACAGGTGTCTTTTATACTGATAACAAGTTCAAACAGGTGCCATTAATACAGGTAACGAGTGGAGGACAGAGGAGCCTCTTAAAGAAGAAGTTACAGGTCTGTGAGAGCCAGAATTCTTGCTTGTTTGTAGGTGACCAAATACTTATTTTCCACCATATTTTGCAAATAAATTCATTAAAAATCCTACAATGTGATTTTCTGGATTATTTTTTCTCGATTTGTCTGTCATAGTTGACGTGTACCTATGATGAATATTACAGGCCTCTCTCATCTTTTTAAGTGGGAGAACTTGCACAATTGGTGGCTGACTAAATACTTTTTTTCCCCACTGTAAGTTCGACAGTCATAAAATGGGGACTTCAAATAGGCCTAAGGCACGTCAATTGAACTGTAGCCTACTGTTCAGATGGGTTAAATGGAATCTGAAATCTGTCCATTGACTGTAGGTCTATAACCTCTCACATAACCTTAATATGAATTCCTGCAGAATCAAGCATTTCTTGCAGTAAAATGTTACACCCAATGCAGGGTGGAGAAATATGTTTTATTTATTTGAGCATCTTGAGAGAATTTGAATGCGCTGTTAGATGCCGTCTGTAGAGGTGCTATCTTTATCAGCATCATAAAAGCTGATAGTGTTTCAATTAGATAAAATATGCATCCAAGCCAAATGGAAATCTTATCTGAAAAATGTTGGGTCGTTTTCACAGCTTTCTAGTTCCTTACAACCGGTCAAACTGATGTCATTTGGAAATTTTGCACAGAAAATCTGTCCCTTTTTGTTTTTGTTATTGCATTTTATCCCCGGTCCCTAAACGTTGTTGCTCCGTGAAAGAAACAGAGATCACAGAGAATTTAACTGATGTCAACTAGATTGAGGCATTAATTCTATTGATTTATGACATTATTCTGGTGAGCAGCGGGTTTATTTAGTCTTCTAGGACAACATATAATGACAGAAGAGAAGCTGCATGTATCTAATAATAGACAGTTGACTAACAAATAGCCTACCAAAATGTTGGAAATTATAAAGCAGAAACATATCTAAATCAGGCAAAAAAAATCCTGCACCCCCTGTCAAAAAATCCTCGTCCTCTTCCACATCTTAATGGAGCACCCGCAAATGAGAATTGCTGGACAGGGATTCTGAAATGACAATATCATTTATCACTCCTGTACACTAATTATAGACAGTTGAGTAACAAATAGCCTACCAAAATGTCTGAAATTATAAAGCAGAAACATATCTAAATCAGGCAACAAAAAGATCCTGCACCCCCTGTCAAAAAATTGTTCCGCCGTCTCTGACTGTAGCCTATAACACATTTTCTATATTAGCGGGTTAGGGACGGGTGCGGGCCTCAGATTTTCACTTTATCACATATAGTCGGGCGGTTGCAGATCGGTTATTAGCAATTGAGGACGGGTGCGTGTGAACAAACAACTGACCTGCGCACCATTAGTGTCCTCCTGAATCTAAATATGTCTGTTTCTCTTTGACTCTCTCTCTCTCTCTCGTTCTTCTTCTCTCAATCCAATTTCTGTGTTATCTTTTCCTTTATTCCCTCCACTCTCTTCCGTCCAACAAGTAAATATTGTGATGCAAGGAGTACATGTTGGAAAGGGGACTTTGATCGATGCTATTATTTAAAGACATAGTTAACCATTTCTCAAGGCAAATACAGAAGCATAACTCTTAAGAAAGAGATTGAAGAAAATTGATACTTCTCAGTGAGCAAGAATCCCTCACACTGCATGTGCATATAATCAATTTATAGAAGTAAGGACATGTGTGAATAGGGCTTCCAATAGCTCTATATCACCCTTCCAGTCTTCATAACTATAGATGTTTTGATAGATTGTGATCAATGTCAGAATTCCATGTTCTTATTCCAACTGTTTGAGCAATAACAATCACGGTTCCAAAGACAAAAAAGACAGCGAGACATACAGTAAATACACATAAACACAATCACACACCACACCTGGTTTACCATTACAAAATTCCCAAGTTTGGCTGATGCTCTTCTGGGTGACCAATCACGTCACGGTTGTGTCCTAAAAACAAAATGCCATTGGTGGTTAAGTTGCTAACCCCTCCCCCCCTGGCCTTGCCCCACCCCTCTAGGCAAAGGCCGTCATCTCTCTCGCAGCCAATCACTTCGCTCCGTGGACAGCCGCAAGCGCGATGGCGGCGGTGGCGATGTAGACAAGACGCGGGGCGGTGGCGGCGGACAGCAGGCCCCACAGACAGGTAAGACAACAGGACGCAGAGGGAGCCCATGCATCAGTCACTAACAGCCGCTTGGGTCACTGACCTACCTGCACAGAACAGATCACACAGGACCACCTCCTACCATTATAGTCTGTCACTGCACCAAGGTTATAGCTAGCTATCCTGAATTCCCTCCCTCACATAGGCCTGTACATCAATCAAAATCTCCCAAACTCTTTCTTGCCTAAGTGCCACGGCACTAATTCCAACATGGACCCTGTAATAAATTGGGTGAAACTGTTTTGTTGTTTTGTTGTTTTGTGAGGTCATGAATTTAGCTGCTATAATGGAGATTGTGTCCTGTCTTGATAAGTCCTTCCTCTCTATGAATGATGCCTCTGCTGAATTAGCGAATCAGGTCCCTCTGTTCAGCTCCCCTCACCCCTGCTTCCCCCATTGGACAGCCATGACTGACCAGCTTTTCCCATTGGCCAGACTAGGCTTGACTGACTGACCGGGTCTACTGAATGCATTGGGCAGTCATGGCAGCCAGGGAAATGATTGACGTATCCAGTAGCCAATGGAATTGCCTTCGCCTGTATATCAAGTCAATGCTAAGGAAATGGAATCAGAGCCAATAGAGCCTGGCAGCACAGAATCTCCCTTACATCAAACCATGCCACGCCCCCTCCTATTTTGGCCAATGGGAGGCTATTCCTGCATGATAATTAGTTTCGGCCCTCTCCTCCCCCCTCCACCCTGGACCATCCCTTCCCTCCCTCCCTCCCTCCCTCCCTCCCCCTCAGTGGACCAGGCTGCGTCAGGTGAGGAGTGGTCATCGTGGAGTGTGTGTTCGGCCACGTGCGGTGAAGGCTGGCAGAGCCGCACACGTTTCTGTGTCTCCTCCTCCTACAGCACCCAGTGCAGCGGCCCGCTCCGAGAGCAGAGGCCCTGCAACAACTCTGCCGTCTGTCCAGGTAAGCTAAGCCCCCCCTCGGCTGCCTCCCTGCTGCCCCTCGTCTCCAGCACTCTCCTGGCCCCGCTCTCGCATACAAGCCCTCCTCTCTCTCCCTGATGATCTCTACCCCTTCTTCCCACTGAACAACTCCATGGCCTGGATGTCTATAGCCCTATACAAAGCCTCTTTAGAAGCCTCTGCCTTAGAGAGATGGGCATGGGGCTTACCTGCCAAGCAGCAGAATAGTTATTCTGATGCCCAACTTCCTTGTGATGTCTTTTACCCAACCTCTCTGTGCAATGCATCCTGGGGCTTCTCTTACCTAACAGAAAATAACGGTCCAGACCAGGACTTTAATATGGAACTATGCAGGTGAACACATTAAACACTGAAATAAGGTTAGAGAGGTCTACACAGGAGAACCATGCAGGCCTGAGAGAAGGATGTTTGTGACGGCATTATGGCAACAGGCTGGTTTGTATCATAGAGTGTTTGATGTTGACGTGTTTTGTAGTTGATGTTGTTGTTGTTGTTGTCGTGGTGAAGGTATGTGTGGTTCTCTCTATAAATCATACCCTAGCCGCTCTGATTGCAGTGCACGGGGCTTGGGATGAGTGGTCGCCATGGAGCTTGTGTTCGTCAACCTGTGGCCGTGGTTACCGGGATCGCACGCGCAGCTGCAAGCCCCCTCAGTTTGGGGGAGACCCCTGTATGGGGCCGGAGAAACAGACTAAGTTCTGCAACATCGCTGTCTGCCCAGGTGAGATTACACAGATTTCTTACTGGATTCTTACTCAGCTGCGTCCGAAATGACACCCTATTCCCTACTCTTGACAACTTCAGTCATCATGGCAGTCACCTCTACAGTCATATACAGAGACAAATTATCCCTGTGAAGGTCATGTGAAAAGCTTCTTGTTTATGCATGAAGGATGAATAAAAGCCTGTACAATGTTGCATTATGCACACAGAGACATAGACAAAGTAATACATGGAAAGAAGTAACCTAGATCTCTCTCTCTCTCTCTCTCTCTCTCTCTCTCTCTCTCTCTCTCTCTCTCTCTCTCTCTCTCTCTCTCTGCTGTCCCAGTTGATGGAGTTTGGAATGAGTGGGCTAATTGGGGTACTTGCTCTGCGTCCTGCTCCAACGGGACCATGCAGCGGATCAGGGAGTGTAACGGACCTTCGTACGGAGGATCAGAGTGTCGCGGGGAGTGGATAGAGACCAGAGACTGTTTCCTACGGGAGTGCCCAGGTAACATCTGCTGTCAAAACTCTGTAGAAGTTGCCCACAGGCACAGATCTAGGATCAGTTCAGTGTACGCCAATCCTGATCTTAACCATTAGGGGGAGGGGAATGCAAAACTGACCTTAGAGCTGTGATCTGTGTCTTAGTGGAGGGGAAGTGGCATCCGTGGACGTCGTGGGTGGGCTGCACCAAGACATGTGGCGGGGGGAGCCAACAGAGACAGAGGATTTGCTATGGGCCCTTCTTTGGGGGTGAAGATTGTCCTGGGGATCGTGAGGAGGTGCGACGCTGCAATGAGAAGAGGTGTCCAGGTGAGTAGTCAGGACACAGTCATGGAAAGGTGTGCTCTTAATCAATCGATCAATCAGATGTCACAAAGTGCTTGTACAGAAACCTAGCCTAAAACCCCAAAGAGCAAGCAATGCAGATGTAGAAGCACAGTGTCTAGGAAAAACTCCCTAGAAAGGCAGGAACATAGGAAGAAACCTAGAGAGGAACTAGGCTCTGAGGGGTGGCCAGTCCTCTTCTGGCTTTGCCGGGATGGAGATTATGAGGCCAGATCGTTCTTCAAGATGTTCAAACGTTCATAAATGACCAGCAGGGTCAAATAATAATCACAGTGGAAGTCGAGGGTGCAAAAGGTCAGCAGGTCAGAGTAAATGTCAGTTGGCTTTTCATAGCCGAGCATTCAGAGGTCAAGACAGCAGGTGCGGTAGAGAGGGAGAGAGAGAGAGGGGGAGAGAGAGAATACCAATGACAGTTCAGCTAAAGACTTAGAATACTAGCACTCATCTCCTTCAGAGCTGCAATCTGCCATCTGTCATTTTTTATTATACAATACATATCTCATATTATACAGTACCTATCTTGCTTTCCAAATATATTAATATCTTCCTCTTTTGTCAAAATCAAAACATATTTGGGTCATTCCACTAAATGAGTGTCCTTTGATGTTTTAAGTAGAAATTATGCACCAATATTGCATTAAAAAAAAACGATTATATTAAAGCTGAAATCCTTAGTTGCTACGTCCATTTTTGGACGTATAAATTAATGATATATACCCATTGAGCTTAGTTCAACTGTCGTACCCCATCAGAACCGAAAATATAAGCTTGTTTTACTCCAATGTATGTAAACAATATAAATGTAAACAAATACTTTATAGCCTCAAAACATGGTTAAAAGTATAATTTTCATATCATGGTTAATCAGTCCTAGCATTCATAGCTCTGTCTATGAATTTGAGAGTGGTTACATTTCTCCAGGCCAATCCCTCAGCTTTTTACCAAAACAGTGGCGGGATGTCCACTTTGTTATTGTTTCAATGAAGGATTTTTGCTTTAAATGAAGTGCCCTTTAATATAGACCACATGGAGAATTCAATCAATCTGATTTTGAATATGAAAAAGGCTTGCTAAAGTGCCAAAATTCAGCATTTTGACACGTCCTCCGTCAACCCTGTGTCAATTCTAGGAAGAGTTCAACCCACTTATTCCCAAATTTCTCCAAGTTTCACCATCATTGTAAAGCCTTAGTTCTTTTGTTGCTTTGACAAAGTCATTTCTGAAGATTATTATTTATTTCATGTGATTAGTGTCCCTCATTCTAAGGTCAACCCTGTTACGTGAACTGAACTCTTGTTTTAATGTGATAAAACTATTCCTTTAAAAAATAATAATCAAAATAAATATAATCAAATCATAGTGTAAAAGCAGGTGAGCTGGTTCAACTGTTTTTGGCCATTTTCTGGTGTTTTGTGACGGAAAACTGAGTGGGTCAAGCATAACACGTCAACCCTGTTACCCATAGATAGACAGGCTAGAATTGTTTTGGGTGAAGCTTGCATTTAATTACCACTCCCTGTTGCACACAAAAAGCTTCCATTCCTCCTGTCACAGGGGCTGATTTAAGAGGAAACCCTGTTACTTTATTTGGCACTTAATAGTCTTTTTTTATTTCACCTCTTGAGATGGGAATACGTGAACATGTGCTCTTTATGACAGAATGTACAAATTTTGTGAAATATATATATTTATTTTTACCAAGTTACACTTCTGAAAAGGCACTGAATCGGTGGACGACCCATTTGACACTCTGATTGGTGGAATACTGATGTTTACTCTGATTGATTTTGGTGCAGAGCCTCATGAGATCTGTGCAGAGGAGAACTTCTCCAACGTAGTGTGGAAGATGACTCCAGCAGGAGACACAGCAGCTGTACGCTGCCCTCCTAATGCCAATGGTGAGCTACCGCCCTTTTACCCTGAGACATAGCTCCAATGGCTTCAGACGTTAGACGCCATAAGAGTCTACGGCAATGTCTCAGAGCAAACCCTTACTAACCTCCCTGATCTACACCTAGCCAGAGGAATATCCATAAGACATGGCCTGGCTTAGGATGGGTTAGGCCTCTAGGATCCCCAGGCTTTAGGGATGTTAACTCCCCACTCTGTGTCCCCATCCAGGGCTGATCCTGAGGCGGTGCACCCTGGATGATGAGGGAATAGCCTACTGGGAGAACCCCACTTATATGAAGTGTATCTCCAATGACTACCGCAGCATCCAAACACTGGTGAGTACCAGAGAGATGATCAATGATAGAAAACTGTACTCTTGTACTTTACATCTGAAAACAGAAGCTACAAAGTGCCCAGAGGCTGCCATTTGAGATCATTTACCTGCTCAGTTCACGTTTCCCCCCCAAGACATCCCATTGGGCACAGACGTCAATTCAACGTCTTTTCCACGTTGGTTCAACAAAATTTCATTGAAATGACATGGAAACAATGTTGATTCAACCAGTGTGTGACCAGTGGGATGTTACTAACAAATCACAAATGGTCAAGACCAAATTAAGAAGACAGACAGGAAATGTATGTTAGTTTAAGTTCAGCCAATTTTACTAATAAGTGAGTTGATCAGAAGATCAACTCTATTCAGTGGTGATATTTTCTGAGTGTTTCACTCATACCTTTCCTCCCCAGACTCGGGAACACCTGTCCAAGGCCCAGCGGGGGCTTGTGGGGGATGGAGTTTCAGAGGTGATGACCAAGCTCAGGGTAACGTCCAGCGATGGGACCAGCTACAGCGGAGACTTGCTGGCCATAGTGGACGTGCTGAAGAACATGACAGAGATCTTCAGAAGGGCTTACAACAGCCCCAGCCAATGCAGACATGAGAGTAAGGGGAGGGAGCATTTGTTTTGGATTGGAAGTTTGGGTTTGGGTTTGGGACAGGGCTACGTTTAGAATTGTCATCATTGCTTTGACTGGTGTTAATTAAATGGTTGGAGTGAATGTTTGTAATAGGTCAATTGATGGTTAATGGTGTAGAGTAATGTCTCATGGCCTCTTCTCTCCCTTTCTCTTCATTCTCTACTGGATCACAGAACTTTGTTCAGTCAGTCAGTAACCTGCTGATGGAGGAGAACAGAGAGAGATGGGAAGAAGCACAACTGGTGAGTTGGTCATTCTCTCTTCTTCTCACAGACTCACTCGCACATCTTTAGGCACACACGTGAGCTAGCATGCATGGTCACAGTTTGTGTTCTTTCTTAATGTGTGTCAGCCATGTGATGTATGGAGATCATTTCAATGACTATTCTCTGGTGCCTTTGTGTCTAGCCGTCGGCATCTTAGTGACATCATGGCAGTCTCCCGGGATGTTGGATGGGTGTGACTGGATAAACAGATAAGAGTGGGTAGGTGTTGGGGGAGATCAGAGGAAACAAATAGGGGGGAAGGGAATAAAGAGTGAGGAGTTGGTGCGAGAGATGACGCATAGAAAAAGAGAAAAAATGAGATCATCGAGTCCTCTGTATCTCTAGTTAGATCTTCTCTCTCCTTCTCTCTCTACTCTCTCTCTCTCTCTCTCTCTCCTCTCTCTCTCATCTCCTCCTGTCTCCCCCTTTTCTCTCTCTCTTAGTTGGGTCCTAACATAAAGGAGCTGTTCCGGTTGGTGGAAGACTTCGTGGACGTGTACGGTCTTAGGATGAAAGACTTCCAGGACATGGTTGAGGTCACCGACAACCTAGGTAAGCATTTTCCTTTGACCCCTGTCTCTTCGGCTATATCTGAAAATATTGCTTCCTCTGTCCTTGTGTCCTCAATTCTTCTCAAATTGCATGTCCTGAATTCCTCTCAAAGCTCATTGGAGGAGGTGGTCCGAGAGAGGGACTTTGGATCCTCTCCTCCAATGCGCTTTGACAGGAATTGTGGAAACAAGGATGGAGAAAGCAAGGATTCGATGGCTAGTAATGTTTTCAGACAGCTGAGCCTTTGTTTGTTCAATGTGGACTTTTCCTATTGAACTATGTGTTTTTCTTCCAGTTAATACTAGGCCTTTAGGCCATGGTGGAAAAGCAGGGATAGCCACATTGGCAGTATTTCAGAGCTGGATAATCTGAATTGGATATACACCCAGCCAGGACACTAGGGGATTTCATCTGTTAGTGTTGTGTCTGATGTGTGTGGATTTCACTGGTTCAGTCAGTTCAGTCTCTCTATGTCTTTTGGAATCAGAACAGAGGGTGTGAGCAAGGAGGTCTAAATATTGCCATTCCCCCTGGGTACCACCCACGGACCAAACAGGGCTATAGAACAGATATCTTGGGCTGTTCCCACTGGGCACACACTGGTTGAATCAACGTTGTTTCCACGTCATTTCAATGGAAATACGTTGAACCAATTTACGTCTGTGCCCAGTGGGAACAGAGCCTAAAATCACACTCACAATCTGCTCAGTTCCAGACCAGTGACTGTGAACTTCTGCTTACACATACACATGCGCACACACACACACACACACAAGCTCTTGCGTGCACAGACACACACACAAACACAGTGTCTGTGAACTTCTCTGTTTCACGCAGAATGTAATATTTGTAAAACAAACAGCATCACGCAAGCAGGCGCTTGGCTTCTCGCTGACCTGCAGATAAACATGGCACAGTGTGTACAGGGAGGTCTGTAGCTGGCGTGTCTGGGGAGTGTGTGGGGGAGTGGAGGGGCCAGCCGTAAGGTGCTGTTTATAGCGCTGCCCAGCCCGCTGCCCGCCTCGCTGTCTGCATTGCAGCCGAACTTCCACCCACATCCACCGCCACACCACTCCTAGTTACTGACCTCACACTCCCTGAGTCCTACACACCTCACACACACAGAGAGAGAGAGAGAGAGAGAGAGAGAGAGAGAGAGAGAGAGAGAGAGAGAGAGAGAGAGAGAGAATAAACAAGTTAGTTATTACTGTATTTAGATAGCTATAATTTAAATATGTACACAGTGAGAAAGAAGAGGTTGGTCAAACAAATGGCTAACACACATTATAAACTGGGTGGTTCAAGCCCTGAATGCTAATTGGCTGACAGCCGTGGTATATCAGACTGTATACCACGGGTATGACAAAACATTTATTTTTACTGCTCTAAACGAGTTTATAATAGCTATAAGGCACCTCGGGGGTTTGTGGTATATGGCCAATATACCACGGCTAAGGGCTGTATCCAGGCATTCGCGTTGCGTCGAATGTAAGAACAGACCTTAGCCGTGGTATATTGGCCTTATACTACACCCCCTCGGGCCTTATTGCTTAAGTAAGTGATGAATCATGAGTTTATATAGTGAATAAAATATAATTCCCTCTCTCTCTCTCTCGCTCTCTCCTCTCTCTCCAGTTCTGTCCATCCACAAGCGTCCGGTGGCGGGTAATGCAGATATCAGCTTCCCTATGAAGGGCTGGAAGGGGATGATGGACTGGGCCCGCAACTCTGAGGACAGAGTTACTGTCTCCAAAAACATCCTCTCCACAGGCAAGCCAGGTGAGAGCACACACACACACACACAAAACACACACACACACAAACAAACAAACAAAACATTCATTCAAAATTAGCATATGGAATTGCACTTGACATTTGAGAGCCTCCAGATTCGCAGCTGTGTGGAGACGTGCGGTTCCTCAGGCTCAGCCAATGGGATAGTTTGGCTCTCTCTGTGACATAGATCATTACCACGGCTACCATGTTAATGAGCCAGTCACTTGCTAATCAGGAGTCAACAGGAGCCAATCAGGGGCAATTAAAGCTAATCTCCTCCCCCACTGGTAGAAGTGTCTTCCATGGCGGCAACAGCACATCAACAGTCAGTCATGCCTCTCACCTGCTGCTCTATACTAGGCATGGCTCACAGGGGGCCAAAATGGCTCCCCAGTTGCACTGATTTAAATGTTTTTCCTCAGCCGCCTCTCTGAAACTATCAGATCATTAAAGATGGGGGACATGCATTGGAACGCATTTGACACACACACACATACACTCACATACACCCACACAGACACACACATAAACACGCACACACATACACTCTCACACACACAGCAGTGCATTGTATAATTGTTAAATATCCCCCTTTGTTGCCTCTCTACTGCTGTGATCATTTTGGCTGAACATATTGGCTAGCAGGCCCATGATATGAAGGGGAGTGCAAGATAATTTATGTCACACACACATACATACATACATACACACACACACACACACACACACACACACACACACACACACACACACACACACACACACACACACACACACACACACACACACACACACACACACACACACACACACACACACATGCATACACAAACTTTCCCTCTCTCTCGCTCGGTTCCTCGCTGATGCCCATGGGATCTCAGCTGCCTGGCCTGGAGTGGTATAATACCCTCTGCCTGCTGCCTGGCATACTTCTGTGTCCTCTCAGCACACATCCATACTGCTAGCCTGCCAGCCACAGCGTGTTGGAGCGTGAGAGAGAGCTGAGGTCCTTTAGATAGAAGAACAGATGGACTTTGTGGGTTTGTGTCTGTGACACTGCAGCAGGAGACATCCTCAGGCCATGTCCTTCTCTTCTGGCCTTCCGCCCAGCAGTTTAGTTTAGCTGTGACACAGGTTGGAATAAATCAAATCTTTTTCTGGGTTTTTCTGGGTGTGTTTTTGTCTATTTTGCCAGTGCAGTCTGCCATCATGGCATGCCATACCCAGCCATGCTACCATGGCAACCCTTTTTGTCACATTAAATACATTGTTGTGTGACAGTGGAAAATGTTTCAATGTCATTTGGCCTTTTGCATTTGGGTGTGTGTGTGTGTGCGTTTGCGTGTGGGTGTGTAAGTGCATGCATGTGTAAACAATCATGTTTATGATGTCTGTTTGCATGGCTATTTTGTGAATATGGGTAAGTCTGTCTGTAAGTGTGTGTGTAAGTGATGATGCTGTGTGAGTGTGTGTTTATAGATGGGTAGTTATGTAGGCCAGCTGCAGAGGTATAGAGCCAAGAGGACTGGAGGGAGACTGGCTGACCTGTATTCTCTCTCCTGCTGTCCTTCAGCACAGACAACTAAGACTAGACCTGCAGGTCATCACACACACACACACCACTGACACACAAACACAAACACACGTCACTCCTCCATCTCTCCCCCTCTCTCCCTTTTTTATTGGATTCTGACTGACCTGTCCTCTCTCTCTCTCTCTCGAAAAAAAATTTTTCCCCCGGATTTAAAAATCTCCTCTCCTCTTCTTCCCTAGTTGTGTTGTTTCCTGTGTGGTTGGTCTGGTTGAACGGTGGACAATGTTTGTGGGTTTTACTCAGATGGATGACCCTTTTCAGCGTTTGTCACTGGGATCGTTCTCTACAGAAACCTGGGCAGCATCCTATCTCTACAGAGGTGAGAGTGATTTACTGACATCTCTACTCACAATGCTTTCTCCAGGGATGCGTCAAAATAAGTGTACTATTAAGGGAATAGGGTACCATTTGGAACCCAGCACAGAACGCATCCCAGAACCTCTTTTGCTTGGTGGCTAATGGGCTTTGAATGCTACCACGTAGCAGATAGCTTAGTGGTTAAGAGCATTGTGCCAGTAACCGAAAGGTCGCTGGTTTAATCCCCGAGCCGACTAGGTGAAAAATCTGTCGATGTGCCCTTGAGCAAGGCACTTAACCCTAATTGCTCCTGTAAGTCGCTCTGGATAAGAGCGTCTGCTAATGACCAATTATTATTACTTAGTCTTCTGTATGTGTAAAAGGATGTCTGAAGTAGCTATTATCTAGAATGAATAACATTTCAGAGAACTGCTTTATGCTAAGCATATGTATTCAAACAGCATGTGTATTTGTTATCTATAGCTTTCTCTCGTTCAGTGAGGAGTGTTCCTACCATTACGTTAATGTGTATGAGCAGGTATAATGAGATGGAAGAACATATGTAGGAACGCAGGCTAGAGTGGCAGAATCACACTCACACAATCCTCCTAACTGCAATTTGATGTGTTTTGTAGCCCTTTCCTGCAGTCAAATGACCTACTGGCCTCATGGGTGGAATGGTATTAATCTTTTTCAGAATTTCATAATTAATAAACATTAATAAACAAAACCGACCGAATATTCGATGTCTCTATGTCAAACGGTTTTGTTATATTTTAGTCTTCTGTGATGTATATAGAGTGTAATATTGGGATGCAAACTCAAAATTGAATACATTTCAACTTTATATCTGACATGGTACAGGTGTCTTCTTCTTTTTAAACCCATAACCATGTGTGTGAGGTGTATACTTTTGTTTCAAAGTAGATTTGTTTAAGACTACCAAGAAACACTCTACGTGACCCTGATTTAGCCAACTGCAGCAAAAGGTTTTGTGACAGATGTCTCTTTCCATTCATCAAATTGCGAGTGCATAGTGCACTGTTTGGATGCTGGAATTATTTTGCGAGTGGACGAATGTGCGCGGGTAGCCTACAAGAGCGCCTTTTTGAAATGATTGTTTGACAAATGTAATACATGTTAAAAGTGATATGACAAATCTTCACTAGGCCTAGGCTACTAGGCCCACAGAGATGATATATACAATGAATAGGGATTCTATAGGCCTATGTCATTCTATGATTACACCAAGCTCATTAAAAAAAATTGTGTGCGCGCTTGGGTGTCCCATACCAGTAAGAACTGAAATCTACTTTCCCCCCTGGGCGTAATGTGGAAGCTCCTCTTCTATTCTGCCTTTACCCAGGCCTAGTTTCTGTCCTTTGTTCCCTCTGAATCTTTTTCCCCTTCAAGGAAATGTGATCCGTTTTAGACAGAGGCTGGCTGACACAAACGTTTACGTTGACTGATTGCGTTCTGAGAAGTGAGAGGGAGAAAGAGCGAGAGGGAGAGAGAGAGAAAGAGAGAGAGGGAGATGTTGCAGATGGGAGAGAGTAGGGGAGAGGAGTCAGAGTGTGGGGGCTGTGAAACATGGCGAGCTTTGATCAGATTGTCTATTTCAAACGGGACATGGGTCAAGTGCTGGGACATACAAGGGTGTCTTGAGGGACATGTATGCTGTGTTAGGGAGAAATGGGAACATGTGTTGTAGAGATGGGGCAGTATTACTGGAGGGAGATTTTAGTCTGTTGATGGGAACAGGGATTGACAACGATGAAAATGATGTGTGCTTCTCACGTGGTATGTCACCTGACCATGTGAGTTGTCCTATGCTGGTGACACCAAACTGTTCCCCCCTCTCTCCTCACACTATTTCTCCTCTCCTCACCCACTCTTTCCCTCCCTCCAGAAACAGCACTGTGCTCAACTCCAAGGTGGTGTCTGTGACCATCAAGCCCACCCCAGGATCCCTCTCTACCCCAGTTGAGGTCCAGTTCTCACACCTTTACAACGTGAGTGACCTTTCACATCTGACCCTCTGACCTGAGCAGTGACCTCAGTAGTAATTGACCCCTGTAGTGTAACAGAGTAGGTAGGGCTTTGACAGATCATGTGGCTTATCCCATAAAAACACAAGTTGCTGATATTTGATAGCATTTCAAAAGACCTACCATGCCTTTATCACTGAAAAGCACTTTTAGCACTTAGAAAAGCACTTTAAAAATGCATTTAATGATCCTCTCAACTGGAGGTTTATGAGAACATTTGCAAACAGAGTATATGTGCATGGCCACAGGAAGATGTTTTGTGGTGGGGTGCAGTTTTTATTTTATGAATACATTTTTTTTATGTGATTTATCAGGGGGTGCTGCAGCACCTCAGCACCCCTACTACCCGCGGCTATGCATACAGTGCATTCACATTTTGTTACGTTACAGCATTATTCTAAAATTGATTAAATCATTTTTTTCCTCACCAATCAACAAACAATAACCCATAATGACAAAGCACAAACAGGTATTTATAAATATGAAGGAAAAAAATTGTAAACGGAAATATCACATTTACAAGTATTCAGACCCTTTGCTCAGTACTTTGTTGAAGCACCTTTGGCAGCGATTACAGCCTTGTGTCTTCAAGGGTATGACGCTACAAGCTTGGCACACCTGTATTTGGGGAGTTTCTCCCATTCTTCTCTGCAGATCCTCTCAAGCTCTGTCAGGTTGGATGGGGAGTGTCGCTGCACAGCTATTTTCAAGTCTCTCCAGAGATGTTTGATTGGGTTCAAGTCTGGGCTCTGGCTGGGCCTCTCAAGGACATTCAGAGACTTGTCCCGAAGCCACTCCTGCGTGGTCTTGGCTGTGTGCTTAGGGTCGTTGTCCTGTTGGAAGGTGAACCTTCACCCCAGTCTGAGGTCCTTAGCACTCTGGAGCAGGTTTTCATCAAGGATCTCTCTGTACTTTGCTCAGTTAATCTTTCCCTCGATCCTGACTAGTCTCCCAGTCCCTGCCGCTGAAAAACATTGCCACAGCATGATGCTGCCACCACCATGCTTCACCGTAGGGATGATGCCAGGTTTCCTCCAGACGTGACGCTTGGCATTCAGGCCAAAGTGTTCAATCTTGGATTCATCAGACCTAAGAATCTTGTTTCTCATGGTCAGTCTTTTAGGTGCCTTTTGGCAAACTCCAAGCTGGCTGTCATGTGCCTTTTACTGAGGAGTGGCTTCCGTCTGGCCACTCTACCATAAAGGACTGATTGGTGGAGTGCTGCAGAGATGGTTGTCCTTCTGGAAGGTTCTCCCATCTCCACAAAGGAACTCTGGAGCTCTGTCAGAGTGACCATCGAGTTCTTGGTCACCTCCCTGACCAAGGCCCTTCTCCCCCGATTGCTCAGTTTGGCCAGACGGCCAGCTCTAGGAAGAGTTTTGGTGGTTCCAAACTTCTTCCATTTAAGAATGATGGAGGCAACTGTGTTCTTGGGGACCTTCAATGCTGCAGAAATGTTTTGGTACCCTTCCCCAGATCTGTGCCTTGACACAATCCTGTCTCAGAGCTCTACAGACAAGTATTTCGACCTCATGGCTTGGTTTTTGCTCTGACATGTGCTGTCAACTGTGGGACCTTATGTAAACAGGTGTGTGCCTTTCCAAATCATGTCCAATCAATTGAATTTACCACAGGTGGACTCCAATCAAGTTGTAGAAACATCTCAAGGGTGATCAATGGAAACAGAATGCACCTGAGCTCAATTTCTATTCTCATAGCAAAGGGTCTGAATACTTCTGTAAATAAGGTTTCTGTTTTTAATTAGCAAAAAACTATAAAAACCTGTTTTGGCTTTGTCATTATGGGGTATTGTGTGTAGATTGATGAGGAAAATGTTTTATTTAATCAATTTTAGAATAATGCTGTAACGTAACAAAATGTGGGAAAAGTCAAGGGGTCTGAATACTTTCCAAATGCACTGTATGTCAACCATCTGACCGTTTCTCTCTCTGTCTGATCAGGGCACCACCAACCAGACCTGCATCTCCTGGGACGAGAGTGACAGGTAAGGCCTTTGTCTAGTTCTTTCACCCATGTGCCTGTTGGGCTGCCCCTTGACGCTGCCTGGCTGCAGTGTGGAGCCTGGGGGTGGAACCGCCTACATAGAAAAATAATTACTAGGACGGACATTGGAGCCGTCTACCCATAGAGATCCTAGAATTGAACTGAATTATAGGACCTTTATGCGCCTACCTGGCTCTGAAAACAGAAATAAAATTACTAGAATGGACATCCCCATTCAAGTCAATGTACCATGATGGGTGGACTGGATGTAAAGTAAGAAGGTTACCCATAACCATGAACTAAAGTAATTATATTTCTATGGTGGACCCGCCTTGGCTACCTGGCTCTGAAACACCTGCTGGTGTGGACCTTCACAGTGAGGGATAGAACTCTGGGAGACGGCATCTCCCCCACTGTGACTGTGTGTTCCGTGGCTGTTCCTGCTCCACTGTTTTTAATCTTGACGAAGTGCCCGTGACACACACTCACCCAGTAGAAAGGTGCTGAGTTTGTCAGACAACTCCAGAGCTCCTCTCTGTGGGTAATGGGAGATGGGACGGGGCAAACACTAACCCCCACCCAGCTAACACTGCGCCGACACTGATGCAGCATGTAGAAAATTAAAAGTGTCGCTCACAGCTTTCTCTCCTGGGCCCCCACGCACACACGAACCAAGGCGTCAACACAGAGGGATGAATGGAGAGTGCTCTACTGGGATCTACTGAGACAGACAGAGAGGCAGACAGGATGAGAGTATACATATGTGAAGTAAGGGAGAGAGAGAGAGAGAGAGACCAGGGAGAGAGAGAGAAGGTTTAGAGCGAGAGAAGGGAGGGTTGGAGTTGGAGAGGAGTGGAGAGAGGAGACAAAACTTTGTAAGCGTTGGGAGGTGGAAGGGAGCAAGAGCGAGGGGGAGACACTACAATTACCACGGCCGCTTATTTTAAATGCAGGTTGGACATTTGCATTTAGATAAGTGTGTACACTTGTGTTACTGAGACGAGAGCAAAGAACAGAGCGCTCTTTTGCCATAAAACAAAGTTTGACCAGGTCAATATAGACCTAGAGAGAGAGAGAGAAGAATAGGAGCAATGAGGGAGGGAGAGGGTTGAGAGAACCAAGGGAAGACGAAGTTAGAGATCCACCAACGAAAGCACTAAGAGAAGAGAACAAAAAAAAATCTAATTAAACTTCACACACATTTGGAGTGTTGACGAAGGGGGCCCGCTAGGAGCGTGGAGGGGGTGCATGTTCTAAGAAAATAAATCCACCTGAAGCAGCTATGATAATGAGCAATATTTGGGGGACAAATTGAAATGTGAGGAGGCGTCCTTGTCATGGTGGTGTCTTGTTGATAAAGGCTGTGAGAGAGAGAGGCAAGCAGGTGTGTGACGGGTGGTCTTCTCTCCTAGGGATCACACTTCAATCTGGGGCGGGGGATCAATAACAACAGCAGTGTTGCCATCCTGGCCTGCAGGTTGGCATTTATTGTCATGAATCTTGCCCTGGAGGCAGCTCTGCAGAGAGCTCACTAGCTGGCACAGCCACAAAGTAATACAATATGATTTTAAACCTAACCCTAACCTTAAGTTAACTTTAAGCACACTGCTAACCCTAATGCCTTACCCTAACCTTATATTAAGACTAAAAAGCTCATTATTGTTTTCATGATTTTTTACAATGTAGCCAATTTTGACTTTGCAGCTGGCCCATCTAGCGGAAATCACTCAGTTCTGCCTTCAGGGCAAGATTCATGATAATAAACGTCAACCTGGTCCTGACCTGGCCCAGTCACCCTCCCTAACTTATCGCTCCTCACCCACCTCCACTTCTTTATAAACCCACAATCTTATTTGTTCTCTTTACAGTTTGTCTCTTATTGAATTTAGCTTCCCCTTTTCTTTAATCTGTCTATTGGTTTTAGTTAATATATTATTTATTATTATTTCCATCGCTGGGTGTTATAGCACCAGACTAAACAATTTTGTCTGGGCTTGATTGATCTTGTCTTACTTAATGGAAGCAATAGAAATGTCGTAAAAGATGCCAACCCCGCCCATCTGGCTCTGTAGGCAGACTAGAGCAAACGCTAAGCGTATTTAAAATATTTAAAATAGTATTTGAACCCAGGGATGTCTGGGATGTTGTGGCGGTCAGGCAGGCCCTGCTGTCCCATTCATTCATGTGGTCCTGGCCTGTTGTTGGCAGGGACCGTTCACAGTGCTGGACCGCTACCCAAATGATCCCCCGTGGCTAGGCCTGTGTGTGTGTGTGTGTGTGTGTGTGTGTGTGTGTGTGTGTGTGTGTGTGTGTGTGTGTGTGTGTGTGTGTGGTGCTGTGGCTTGCTATGTGGTTGGGATAGCGGCCTAATCGTGTCATCCACAGAGACTCTGCGCTGAGTTATAATATTGGATTTCTGTTTGGGTGATGTGCTAATGTTAGCACTGAGCCTACTCCTGGGGCTACAAGACTACTCTCTCTCTCTCTCTCTCTCTCTCTCTCTCTTTCTCTCTGCTCGTCATGGTTTCGCCCCTCAGCACTCTCCACCCAATTGCACCATGGGTAAACCTATCGAGGGCTGCTGTGAGGTGGCCCTGGTGCACTGTGGGTAACCCTGTTGGAGGCCGTGGTGTGTTGTGATGAAATGTCTTTGGCCCTGAGGTACATACCTGGGTTCAAATAGTATTCGTTTTCTTTCAAATACTTAATCTGCTCTTGATCGAGCCTGCCTTGTGCAATGGAACCACTGGAATAAATAACAAAAAGTTCAAACCCTGCCCAACTGGCTCTCCAGACTGAATGAATTAAATGCTTCCAAGTATTGGAAAGAACACAACTACTTTTTGAACCCAAGTCTGCTGAGACCCAGTCCCAGGCTGTTTGGTTGGTTTGTTGGTTGGTTAACCCTGGGGGCTGCTGTGTGTTTCTGGTGCCACTAGCCCCAGAGCCCTGCAGGAGACCATGTTCCACCCATCTTGATGAGTCCCTTTGGGGACCACTATGTTTGGGAAGAGGATGTAAGGGCTCGCTTGAGATGGATGGAGTGTGACATCACCAATGTACCATCCAGCATCACTGTGCCGTGGGAGGGAGACACAACACACAACTCCCATTAAGACATGAGGAACCAATAACCATCGGGGTCATTCTCTATGCACCACAGTCAGACCAATATGAAGAGAGGACTGAAACTGAGCCATGCACTCTTGGAGGAGTACAATACAATAACTTGAAAGTCTTCTTAATTATTAAAACCAACTGGTTTTGGCGTGTTGTCTTTGTCAGGGTTTTAGAACAGCTGTGTGGTAAGTTAGCCACATGTGGAGGGTACGACGTTGTAAACAACAATGAAATAGTTGTGATCTGATATTTCAGCACCATGCATAGCGGGGAAATATGGTTTCTGATATCTGGAGTTCAGCACCACATGGCAGTGGACAGCGTACTGGCAACGCAACGTCACTGGCCACTGAGAATGCCCATTCAATGACGGAAGAGGCCTACAAGCAAGACATCTAGAGGGGAAGGCTCCCCATGAACTCCATGCTAAGCTGTTCAGCAAAATTGTTTTCTAACGTTAAAACTTTAGAATTGTCAGTAATGCTTTATAGTAGAAGCGGGTGGTTGTGAGTCTTTGATTGACAATTTCAGTCGATTCCATAGGACAGTGAGTGACAAAGTGGTGTGGATTTAGCCTGGTCCATTCAGGGTAAATAAGACTTAGACAAACATGATATCTGTCGAAGTTTGGTCAACATTCACAATTCACATTTTGATGAATATGCTCAACTAAAGAATGGTTAACAATATAACAGAAAAATAACTACATATGTATTTAAAGTGCTTTCTTATTGGGTTAGAATTGCATTTATTGTTGATGTATGGTCCAGTAGGTTACAAAAAAGGCCTAGACCAGGCCATCAAAAACCTATTTACCTGTAAATATAAGTTAGGATGGCATTACAGTCACACGAAGTACTGTTAAATGTGTTCACACAAGAAAGAATGTGACCAGCTGATTAATTGTATATTAAGTACACATTATCTCTGAACTCTTTAGCTTTTAAATTGTGCCACCAATAAGGCAATCTAAATCTAGCGATAAATAATGAGACACAATAATAATTTAGATTTGCATGATTGTTTTTATAATTATTATTATTATTACTTTTACCCCCATTGCTATTGTGTATTTTTGGGTCATATGTGAATTCCCACTCTATATTGCAATAACCTGGCCAAGCAGAAACCTGAGCAGCACGGTTTCTGGCTCACAGAGAACCTTTCATCACCATTTTCACTGCGTTTTCTGCGCTCTTGCTCGCTAACCGCGGAGATGTAAAGGGGATTTGGAATTAAATAGCTGGTGTCTGTAACGTGGTGGCGGATTTGACTCGCTTTCCCCCCGTTTTTATTCACCGCAGCGCTCTCTCTCTTTTCCCGCAGCTCCTCGCTGCTCGGATCGTGGTCTGCCAGGGGCTGCAGAGCCGTGCCTGTCGACTCATTCAGAACCAAATGCGTGTGTGACAGACTCTCTACCTTCGCCATTTTAGCACGGCTAACTCCTGACATGGTAAGTCCGACACCTTCCTTCATTCTTTTATGTTAGGGTATCCGAATCGAGGTGCTTGTGAGTTATGTGTATGTTTCTCACCGGGTTTAGTGGAAAAGGGCGTCATTGCCATTCCGTATCAACAGAGCCCTTGCGCGCTCCCTCCCTCTCTCCCCTCTCTTGCTTGCGACGTGCAGATGCCATTCAGCAAGGCCTGTGTGTGTTCTCAAATAAAGAATTTGGGCATCTTTCAAGTCGTCCCACCGAGCAGAAAAGGGAGATTTGTGTCGAAATGACACATTTTAGTCGAGGTACATCCACTTTATATATTCCAACGGCAAAATGACCGTGTTGACTACTATACTATTGATTTGCATACATTACATGCTGAATGAGAAATTGTTAGGTTATGTGAATATTTATTTTAGGGTTTATGGATAAGCTATTATAATTGTATTCATGTTCAGAATCCCGTGCATATTTCATGTGAACGCTGTCCAATGTAATATAATAACATATTATTCCTGCATTTTGACAAATTAATATTTCCCTGCACAGGTCTCCATTGGAATGCTGCTATGCTCCAGGCATGCTGCCTAAATATCCTCCAATTATGCATGTACATAAAATGGGGCAAAACAAATCACAGATAATCAGTATTTGACTCCAACTGGATAACAATAGGGGTGTTAATATGACAATACCTTTACCAAACCCTGCAGAATTCCAGTGATGGTTCAAACTGCTCAAATGTGGCCCCGTTTCTGAGGGGGGATGAAAAGGCCAGTACTGTCTTTGTGAGGAAATGTTCATTCAGTGCGATTAGTTATTATTAGACTGGAAACTGCCTGTGAAGCAGTTGTTCACTAGTTGCCCTGGTAACAGCATGGATGGGCACCAGGGGCTCTTAAAGCTGTAGAAGACCCTATACTAATTCACCACCACATCGTGCTGTGTGGCCTAGATAGAGGGAAGGGAAGAACGGAGGAATGGATGAAGGGAGGGATGGAATACTGTTTATTTACTCCTCCTGGGCCAAAATATTCAGACAGATGCGACATTTACCCGTTTTAGATATGCATGTGGTATTTATATGACGGTACCCAAATGCTACATCAAAAGAAGGGGATGGGGATGAGGAAATGTGCACCTGCAAGCAAGGGACAGGCTTTATTTGATGGGTCTTAGGAAAGCAAATAAACACGGCAGTCTTTCGCCCTGAGAATCTGCAGCTGTGCGTTTGATGTTCTGTATCTCTCTCTTCTCCATCTCTGTCTCTCTCTCTTCTCCCACTCTCACACTCCCTCTGTCTTCCCCTCGACCATCCTAGAGCTAAGATTATTCAGCCGGGGGGATGATCTTGGAAGTGTGTGTGTGTATGTGTGTGTGTGTGTGTGCGTGTGTGCGTGTGCGTGTGTGCGTGTGCGTGTGCGTGTGTGGGTGTTGGTGTGTTTGTACACCTCTGCAAGATGTTTACAGATCATCACTTGCTATACACACACAGAAGCAGTCGCTATCCTTATTACACACAGCTGCACACATGCATACGGTTACACATACTGCACACACACACACACACACACACACACACACACACACACACACACACACACACACACACACACACACACATACACACTGTTTATTTGGCGTATGTCTGTGGGATGGGTAGTAGTCATAGTAGCGTAATGTGTTAATAGCACTCCCCAAGTGATTGCTGCTTCTCCCTGGCCGGAACACAGCGTCATCCTCCCCCTTATTCCTCCTTCTATCTGTCTACCTCTATTCATCCCTCTCTCTACCTGGCCACTCGACAGGCCGTCTCACAGCAGTGTCGCAGTCTGGGGGCTTTTAGATGCCCTATGGGAAGCATATTGTGGCAATTATATTCACCTGGCTCTGTGCCAGGAGAGAAGGGCACTCCTTTCCCCCCCCCCCCCCACTCTTTCTTCTCCTCCCTCCTTTCCTTCCTCCCTCCTGCCATGCTAGTGGGTTAGTGAGACAGCCATGGTTACGGAGCTAGCTAATTATTCCTGCAGCAACACTTGCCACATTCTGAATGGTGCAGCCCCTCTCCTCTCCTCTCCTCTGTCTGCAGCTAGCCTCATACAGCCCCAGAATGACAAACACCCAGCCTCTCGCTGGCTCTCTCTTCCTCTCCCTCCTGCTTAGTCATTTTCCCACATCCTTTTCCTCTGCTGCTTTCTCTTCTCTCTCTCTCTCTCTCTCTCTCTCTCTCTCTATCTCTCTCTCTCTATCTCTCTCTCTCTCTCTCTCTCTCTCTCTCCTCTCTCTCTCTCTCTCTCTCTCTCTCTCTCTCTCTCTCTCTCTCTCTCCACATAGTAGGTCTCTGTCCCGCCCCTTTATCACTCCCTCTCTTCATCTCTCCTCTCCTGTCTTCTGTAATGTTACCACGTTCAGTCAGTCCTACTCAGCTGCAAGCTGTAGAAGGAAAGAGAGAGAGAGAGAGAAAATGCACTTATCAAAATGCTCAAACCTGAACCCAGCAGGCCCAGAGAGAAGAAGGCTTGTGTTTTTGGGAATAGGATGAATGAATGAATGTGTGTGTGTGTGTGTGTGTGTGTGTGTGTGTGTGTGTGTGTGGGTGGGTGGCACATGTATGGCTGTTTTTATTGCCCCTATGAGAGACAGACAAGTCTTTGTTAGAATGTCTCATGGGCCTGTGAGTACGCAGTTCACACACCTACAGACCTGCCTTTGACAATGTAACCCATATTAGGCCTATAGATAGTAAGACATAGATCAACTAACTCAACAGAACCACAGAACAGCTTTGTGTTTCCCATTATATCAGAGAGGTTGGTCCTCATGCTGTAGCTGCATCAGTACTCATACATGGATTCATGTTTCTTTAGATGCTATCAATCTTACTTGGGTTTGAGTCACATACAGTCAGATACAGAGTTCAGTGGAAGGTCATGGTCAAAGCCTGTTAGTCTGACTCTACAAACTAGACACACCCAGGCTAGGTATCATTGAACTACTGTGTCCATGGTGATTCTCAGAAAGCCTTGATGGTGTTGGAAAGCAGTTAATGCTATGATATGTATACCTGTATATCTGCATTGATACAAATCACGAATACCATTTAGCCATTGTTATCTGCCCCCTTTCTGAAGGCAGTTTTAGGTCAACACTGGGATAACATAGCCTAGCCTCTTCGGGATGGGAAGTCTCTGTCTCTCTCACTAGACGGTTGCACTGTACGCGATTCACATCCCACATCCCACATCCCTGCGCTGCCATTAGTGGAGACAGAGAGGGCTGTAAAAGTTACTCGGTCTCAGCTGACATTGTTCCGTTCGGCTGCATTCGTAATCTTTTTCCTTCAGACTGAGAGAGAGATGGGAACTCACCGCAGTGCAGATTAATCAAAGGATTTCATTAATTTGGCCCTCTAGCACACATCAAACCTGGAAACAAGACAGACTATAAACTCAGTCAATTATCTTCTGCTTGAGGGTGGAATGCACAACCATAGAATAGACCCCCCTCCTCTTCTCCCCGCCCCCCCATCCCTGTCATAAGACTGCTGTGCTCCCTTCCACCTCCATCTCACCTCTAGGTACTCCAACACCACCTCAACAACCCCCTCCCCCCTGCACCCCATCCCTCCATAGCTATCTCTTCCCATCAGACAACCCCCCCCCCTATATCCACCCCAACACCACCTCTAACAAACCTTAGCAAAGACAACTACACAACATATTTCCATTTGGAACACATTACACATTTAATCAAGCTAGTCTTCTAGAGTAAGCAGCACTTCACTAAGCAGCACTCCTGAACATGGGCTTCTTGACTCACTGTTAGTACTGCTCTGTAGATCACATAATGCTATACTGAAGAACGCAGTCAACACACACGCCCGGCCTACGTTGGGAGAATGGCCCAGGATGTCATGCATGGGAGCCTGCAGGCAGCACTACTCCCTCAGATAGATACACTGCCTGCCAGCTAGATGCTTTCACTCTGTTCAGGCCACAGCAGGGAACAATCAGTCAGTGCTGCTAAGCATGCATGAGTCAAGACTGGGAATTGTGTCCGAAATACACACACACACACATACACACACACAAACACACACACACGCTTATGCATAAAGCAGCCACAGGGTAAGTGGGATGCTGTAGCCTTCCTTCCCTCACTGCTGCTGCTGCCACGCTACCATACCAACATCCCCATCCTGCATCACCATGGCAACTAAGACAATGGCTGCTGCGGGAACATGGAGACGGCGATCTGTTGTTGTCGATGGTTTTACAGGAGGAGGTTTGCGTTATCTTGCTGTGTTTCATAGTAGAACGTTTGAATCTGTCTGTAGTGTAGTCTGACAATTAATCTGTCAAAATGTGCTTTGTAGCTGCCGTTGGTTCATGGCCTTCAGCTAAGAATCTGTGTAGTGATTCACCTTGGAATCACCTTGCTCTCCATATCCAGCCAAGGCCCAAACAGAAGCCTGCCTGCCTGCCAGCCTCTCTCCAGCTCTCTTTATCAGATACCAGCTATACCTACCTCTGTACACGGCACTGCACATGTCTGTGTGTCTGTGTGTGTGTGTGCGGAGGGGTCTCATACTGTTTTAGCTTTGCAGTCCTGAACCAGGAGAGTGGAAGAAAGAATCTGCTTTACATTTCTTTGCAGTACTAACAGTCTGTGTGTTGACTATATGTGTGTCTCCTGCAGAATATGGATAAAATGCAGCTTCCCTCTGTGACACTGATGGTGGGCTGTGGAGTCTCCTCTCTCACCTTGCTGCTCCTCATCATCATCTATGTGTCGGTCTGGAGGTGAGAACACTTGGACTCTGGTTAGTAAGCCCAGTAAGCCCAGCTGAGCTGTACTAGGCTGGTTTGGTTACGCATCCACCATAGTTGCTTGAACCGTGCTGGAAAGGACAAAGTGGACTAAATCTGAGCCAGCATTGTGCAGTTCAGGTTTGCTTGATAGTGTAAAAAGGCTGGAGCTTTTGAACCGTTTAAGTGAAGAAAGTATGGGTGTGGTTGTTGGTGGTTGACGGTCAGTTGGGAAAGGTGTGGACCCCTCAACATGTTGTTTCTCCTCAGGTACATTCGCTCCGAGCGCTCCGTCATCCTCATCAACTTCTGCCTCTCCATCATCTCCTCCAATGCCCTCATCCTCATTGGTCAGACGCAGACAAGGAACAAGGTAAGAGCCAATGAACAAGCTGTATCTCACCACATGCTCTCTCAAAGTCTTGTAAAGATCCTTTACTCACATCTCTCCATCTCTTCTTCTCTTCCCTGTTCCCTCTTTCAACCCCCCCTCACACCCTCCCTCTTTTCTTCTCTTTCTCCCTCACTCTCTGTCCCTCTCTTCCTATCTTGTGTTCTCTCCATCTCTCAGGTGATCTGCACACTGGTCGCTGCTTTCCTGCATTTCTTCTTCCTGTCGTCTTTCTGTTGGGTTCTGACGGAGGCGTGGCAGTCATACATGGCTGTGACTGGCCGGCTGAGGAACCGCATCATCCGCAAGCGATTCCTGTGTCTGGGCTGGGGTGAGGATGCTGTTTCTCTGTCTGTCCCACATCGCTAGATCATTAGCCGGTCTGAAAGGTCAGGGTTAGGCCAAGAGCAAGGGGCACAGAGCAAATTGGGATCAGTTTTATCTGTTTCTCTGTCTGTCCATCTGTTTGTCCGTCTGTTCCGTCCCTACCCAGTACTGACCCCTCTCCCTCCTCCTTAGGTCTACCTGCTCTGGTTGTGGCAATCTCTGTGGGTTTCACCAAAGCAAAGGGATATGGCACCGTCAACTAGTGAGTCTGCTATCCCTGATATTGTTGCTGTGTGTCTCCCTCTGTCTAGACAAGTGTCTTTTCTCTCTCTCCTTTTGTCTCTCTCTCTCTGTATCTTTCTTTCTGTGTAGCTCTAGAACTCGATCTTCTTCTAAATCCTAATGTTGGATTACCTAATCTTTAAAGAGCATTTAAGACATGTGATAAAGAATCCTTATACTTGGGGGTTGTTTTTGTGTGACCTGGTATCTGACTTGACCTCTTCCTCTCCTCACTCTACCCTACCCTCCTTTTCTCTCTTTCTTACACCATCTTTCTTCTTTTCTTGTATCTGTTTTTCTCCATCCTTTTTTTCTCATGCCACCTTTCTTTCTCTTCATCTATCTTTCTCCTTCCTTCTCACCTGCTCTGGGTGTCACTCTCTCTTCCCCCCTTTTTCCTCTCCACCTCCTCCCTCTCTTCCTCTTTCTCTCTCAGCTGCTGGCTGTCTCTGGAAGGTGGTCTGCTTTATGCTTTTGTGGGACCGGCTGCTGCTGTAGTCTTGGTACTTCCTATCTCTCTGTCTCAACCTCTATTTGTCTGAGAAACCATTGTTCCTTTACTGATCTTAGATTAACCCTACATTTAGCCATAGAAATATGTAAGATACTGTAACTCTTGTCTTGCCCTAACCATAAACTTACAGTGCCTACTTTGTTGCATTACAACCTGTAATTTAAATTGATTTTTATTTGGATTTCATGTAATGGACATACACAAAATAGTCCAAATTGGTGAAGTGAAATGAAAAAAATAACTGTATTCACCCCCTTTGCTATGAAGCCCCTAAATAAGATCTGGTGCAACCAATTACCTTCAGAAGTCACATAATTAGTTAAATAAAGTCCACCTGTGTGCAATCTAAGTGTCACATGATCCCAGTATATATACACCTGTTCTGAAAGGCCCCAGAGTCTGCAACACCACTAAGCAAGGGGCACCACCAAGCAAGAGGCACCATGAAGACCATTGAGCTCTCCAAACAGGTCAGGGACAAAGTTGTGGAGAAGTACAGATCAGGGTTGGGTTATAAAAAAATATCTGAAACTTTGAACATCCCACGGAGCACCATTAAATCCATTATTAAAAAATGGAAAGAATATGGCACCACAACAAACCTGCCAAGAGAGGGTCGCCCACCAAAACTCACAGACCAGGCAAGGAGGGCATTAATCAGAGAGGCAAAAAAGAGACCAAAGATAACCCTGAAGGAGCTGCAAAGCTCCACAGCAGAGATTGGAGTATCTGTCCATAGGACCACTTTAAGCCGTACACTCCACAGAGCTGGGCTTTACGGAAGAGTGGCCAGAAAAAAGCCATTGCTTAAAGAAAAAAAAAGCAAACACGTTTGGTGTTTGCCAAAAGGTATGTCGGAGACTGGTCCTCTGTAGCTCAGCTGGTAGAGCACGGCGCTTGTAATGCCAAGGTAGTGGGTTCAATCCCTGGGACCACCAATACACAAAAAAAAGATAATAAATAAATAAATATGTATGCACGCATGACTGTAAGTCGCTTTGGATAAAAGCGTCTGCTAAATGGCATATTATTATATTATATGGAAGAATAGTTATGCATGCTCAAGTTTTCTGTTTTTTTTGTCTTATTTCTTGTTTGTTTCACACAAAAAAATTGTTTGCATCTTCAAAGTGGTAGGCATGTTGTGTAAATCAAATGATACAAACCCCCAAAAAATCAATTTTAATTCCAGGTTGTAAGGCAACAAAATAGGAAAAATGCCAAGGGGGTGAATACTTTTGCAAGCCATGTATAGTCATCAATGGACCCTATGCGCAAGATTGCTACCACTTGACTAACTACATGTTATTACCTTCACTTAGCAGTTACAACTTTATATATACTGTAGGTTTGATATGTAAACTATTCTGTGTATGTGTGGGACTGACATGATTCACATGCATGTATCATACTCTATCATTTCTGTAGTTCCATGTCAGACTGACAGACAGAGTGGTTGTAGCTATATGGTCTGAGTGACTAAGAGTTTTTCTCTGTATCTGGCTGCTTTGTTCACATCTTTCTTTTCTCTCTGACAGGTTAACATGGTTATCGGGATTCTCGTATTTAACAAACTGGTGTCCAAAGACGGCATTACTGATATGAAACTGAAGGAGAGGGCAGGGTATGCCTCATCCTACCACACATCCATCTCACTGGTCCACCAATAACCAGCCTGGGGGCATACGCTTGGGGGCGGGGCTAGCGATGCCATTGGCTCTCACTTCTAGAACGCAAGAGCTAGGAAAGAGTCAGATGAGGAAATTGATAAGAGTTATTTCTTTAGATGACAGAATTTAGAAACAGGGTAGATAACAGTTGGGGAATAGGAGCACAGACAACAGGAGTATGGGAGAGAGAGAAAGGAGGGAGGGAGGAGAGATATAGCGAGAGCAGAGAGAGAGAGACAGCGAGAGGTGAGAGTGGGGAAATGAAAAGGAGCAGATAAAATAAAAATTGAAAGGATTATGTGGATGTTTTCATAAGAAAGACAGTGATCAGTGATTGGAAGATTTGTAGAGGATGTGGTCTGACAGAGAGGGATAGAAGAAGAGAGGAGGGAGGGAGGGAGGGAGGGAGGGAGGGAAGGAGGGAGGGAGGGAGGGAGGAAGGGTTGGGAGGGAGGGAGGGAGGGAGGAAGGGTTGGGAGGGAGGGAGGGAGGGAGATATAAGAAAAGGGAAGATGAGAAAGAATGGACTGGTTATCGGACCCTCCCATTAAGAAACAAGATGGCGCATCAGTGCTCATCTCATGGCTTTTGTATTGGTTTCATTGTACTCTGCCATATACTGTATGTTGCTTTTACACGTTCACTCAGCTTCTCTTAATTTGCAGGTGTTGCTATATAATGTACATTTCTGTATATCCATCTTTCTCTTTTATTTAGTTTGGTTGCTAGTTGTTTAGGGAAGGGGAGCAGGGGCCCTATGGGTATAGAGTAGAGACCTCAGAGATCACTCAAAGCACACCATAATGTCATGTGTTTGATTTATAGTACAACGCTAATGCTAGCTCTATAGCCATAGAAATTGGTTTATTTTCTGTTGTGTTTCTTAAAAAGGCCACTCACTACAATATGAAACAAACTCCATCTGATACATCTGTTGTGTTGGAGATGGGGTTTTTACTTCAGCCATTTGGGCATTTCCAAGCTCGTACTGAGATACCTACTTCAACCATGTGTACTTGTCTTAAAGTCTACCTTGTTTATACTTACTACTACTACTTAATACAGATAGTAGCATGTGCAGCGCAATACTCACCAATGTTGAGAGGTCTTGACCTTAAGTCCCTATATAACCCCAGGGTTGACCTTTGACCTCACGGTGACCCCTGCTCCCCCCTTCTCGCAGGCTGCTGTTCTGTGCCCTCATTGGCCATTGTTAGTGCATCCAACTGAATTGTTGTTTATTTATGTATTTATTTTCTCTGAACAACATGTTTGCCTCTCTCTGCAATTATCTATCTCACTTTTCTTGAACTGTACAAGTTTGTTTTTTGCTGTCTGAAACATTCTGTTTGAGTTTGCACAGAATCCCCCCCTCTCTCTCACTCAGGGCTCCTCCTCTCCAATCAGGAACACCTCAATCTCAGCTCCCCCTTTCCACCTCGTCACTGATTGGGTAAAAAATCAACCCCGCCCACACTGTTGTTGATTTGTATTGGGTCACGGCCCACCCCACACACTAAATATCCTTCCCCTGGCAGTAGCGCTCTCTGATTGGCTTAATAATCTCTCCTCACACTCTGATTGGCTTAATACCCCCTCCTCACACTTTCCCTGCTATCAATATCCCAGCTTTCATCTAAAACCAGCTAGACAAGCAATAAATGTAAAGAATAACTGTAGACATAAACTGCAGTGCAAAATCTAGAACACGGTTGTGATACATGGTTCTGTTCAATGTAGTCACATTACTAAGATACAGAATGAATACTGACAGAAGTATAGGATATGGCACAGAGTAGTATATGATAGGGTGTGTGTATGTTTGTGTGTGTTTAAATGTGTGAGTGTGTGTGTTGGCGTGTGTGTTGGTTTGTATTCGATTACAAAGTGGGTACTGGGGGGTTGTTTTAGGGTTGCGCAGGCAGACCACTGGGCTATCAATGGTGCATGGACCGAGGGGAGAGGGGGGAGGGGTGGCACCAGAAGACTGGATGCATACACAACACAGTAGGATACCATGTTATTCTCTGATATTATTCTCACTGTTTGGGCCCCCTCTGCTCCCTCAAGGTTCAAACTATGCGTATGTGGACTGAGGGGGGAGGGACTGTGGGGAGGGGGCAGGGTGGCACTGTAGAGTGGATACATGGAAAACAGAGAAGGGTGTCAGTCTCTTTTTCCCCTCGCATGCCTTTCAATACCTAACATGTTTAATCAAGATAATTAATAATCGCTAGATGATGCGCCTTATTAGGCACGGCGTACTGTAGCCCTGCTCTCTCACACCTCAGAAATTTAGATTTACCCTCGCTGCCTGCTGATGCGCTCTCTCTCTTTCTTCCACCCCTAAAATTAGAAGCTAAAAATGGAAACAGACAGGAGAGTAGAGGACAAGACAGGAGAGAAAAGGAAAGGTCTACTGTAAAGCCATCCAGGCAGACCTGGTGTGGTGTTGTGTTTCCTCATTCCTCATTCCAGGATGTGTTAGCACTGTGTTAGCAGGTTGCTGTTCAGTTACTTTAACCCTAGTTGTCACTATACAGACGATTCTAGTGAAAGAAATGTGGACGTTCCTAGTGAAAGAAATACCAGTAAACTGGGTAAACTTTGTACCCTTGTTTGTCGACTGGGAACCACAGAATATCACCTACAGTGGGGAAAAAAAGTATTTAGTCAGCCACCAATTGTGCAAGTTCTCCCACTTAAAAAGATGAGAGAGGCCTGTAATTTTCATCATAGGTACACGTCAACTATGACAGACAAAATGAGGGAAAAAAATCCAGAAAATCACATTGTAGGATTTTTAATGAATTTATTTGCAAATTATGGTGGAAAATAAGTATTTGGTCAATAACAAAAGTGTCTCAATACTTTGTTATATACCCTTTGTTGGCAATGACACAGGTCAAACGTTTTCTGTAAGTCTTCACAAGGTTTTCACACACTGTTGCTGGTATTTTGGCCCATTCCTCCATGCAGATCTCCTCTAGAGCAGTGATGTTTTGGGGCTGTCGCTGGGCAACACGGACTTTCAACTCCCTCCAAAGATTTTCTATGGGTTTGAGATCTGGAGACTGGCTAGGCCACTCCAGGACCTTGAAATGCTTCTTACGAAGCCACTCCTTCGTTGCCCGGGCGGTGTGTTTGGGATCATTGTCATGCTGAAAGACCCAGCCACGTTTAATCTTCAATGCCCTTGCTGATGGAAGGAGGTTTTCACTCAAAATCTCACGATACATGGCCCCATTCATTCTTTCCTTTACACGGATCAGTCGTCCTGGTCCCTTTGCAGAAAAACAGCCCCAAAGCATGATGTTTACACTCCCATGCTTCACAGTAGGTATGGTGTTCTTTGGATGCAACTCAGCATTCTTTGTCCTCCAAACACGACGAGTTGAGTTTTTACCAATTTTTTTTATTTTGGTTTGATCTGACCATATGACATTCTCCCAATCCTCTTCTGGATCATCCAAATGCACTCTAGCAAACTTCAGACGGGCCTGGACATGTACTGGCTTAAGCAGGGGGACACGTCTTGCACTGCAGGATTTGAGTCCCTGGCGGCGTAGTGTGTTACTGATGGTAGGCTTTGTTACTTTGGTCCCAGCTCTCTGCAGGTCATTCACTAGGTCCCCCCGTGTGGTTCTGGGATGTTTGCTCACCGTTCTTATGATCATTTTGACCCCACGGGGTGAGATCTTGCGTGGAGCCCCAGATCGAGGGAGATTATCAGTGGTCTTGTATGTCTTCCATTTCCTAATAATTGCTCCCACAGTTGATTTCTTCAAACCAAGCTGCTTACCTATTGCAGATTCAGTCTTCCCAGCCTGGTGCAGGTCTACAATTTTGTTTCTGGTGTCCTTTGACAGCTCTTTGGTCTTGGCCATAGTGGAGTTTGGAGTGTGACTGTTTGAGGTTGTGGACAGGTGTCTTTTATACTGATAACAAGTTCAAACAGGTGCCATTAATACAGGTAACGAGTGGAGGACAGAGGAGCCTCTTAAAGAAGAAGTTACAGGTCTGTGAGAGCCAGAAATCTTGCTTGTTTGTAGGTGACCAAATACTTATTTTCCACCATAATTTGCAAATAAATTCATTAAAAATCCTACAATGTGATTTTCTGGATTTTTTCCCCTCAATTTGTCTGTCATAGTTGACGTGTACCTATGATGAAAATTACAGGCCTCTCTCATCTTTTTAAGTGGGAGAACTTGCACAATTGGTGGCTGACTAAATACTTTTTTTCCCCACTGTATCTAATCACTGCTACCCACATTGTTGAGACAGAACAATGAAGTGAGCATTTAGCTGAAGAGTATTGCTTGTTTGATTGAAGACCTGGATTTGATTTGAGCAGGTCTAGGTCTATGTGCCTATGTACAGTATATGGGTGTTTCCTAATCAGCTTCATTCTCTCTCTCTGAACTCTCTCTGTCGTCTACACATCATAAAGACAAGGGAAATGGTGTTGTATTTCAAAAGCTACTGATTGCTTTTTAATATCACTGCCTATGGCGGGGGGTTGCTCTTTTACTTGAAATGTAATTTCTTATAATGTGATTTTTAATCCATCTGTCCAGCGGCTATACTGAATCGATTCCTTCCTCGGCTCTTATGGTTTAATTGTTGTTTTGCGAGCGGCCATTTTGTGACACTGTTCTTCTCGAACTCTGTTTCTTCTAGATGTCTCTGTCTTGTGGGGGTATTTTAATATAATGAAACGGTTTTCAAGCCATTGTGTAGAAGTATGGATGGACAGTTTATCGTTGCGTCACGTCCTGATAATAATCTCAGTAATCGCATACCCTCTTGTGTATTATTGCTGTATTATTTCTCCTACAGTATGTAATCCATGATGAAGAGGCATTGTAGAGATTGTACTGTGTCTCTTACTTCCAGTCAGGCATCCAGGCAGAGAGAGGCAGGCCACAGCAACACTGGGCTTTGTGATGAGATGAGATGAGATTAGATGACAGCACAGACACTGGAGAAGTGGGGTGACACAGAAATAGACTGCTAGATGGGAATGTGATGATTGTCTACAGTATTTGTGGATTACAGTACCAGTGAAGAAGGAAAGGATTAAACCTGGAACAGCTTCTCAGGAAATCTTTAGAATTCATTGTCTATCCTCTGTGTTGTTTTAATACAGCCATGTAGCAACACACACTCATACATACAGTGGGGGAAAAAAGTATTTAGTCAGCCACCAATTGTGCAAGTTCTCCCACTTAAAAAGATGAGAGAGGCCTGTAATTTTCATCATAGGTACACGTCAACTATGACAGACAAATTGAGGGGAAAAAATCCAGAAAATCACATTGTAGGATTTTTAATGAATTTATTTGCAAATTATGGTGGAAAATAAGTATTTGGTCACCTACAAACAAGCAAGATTTCTGGCTCTCACAGACCTGTAACTTCTTCTTTAAGAGGCTCCTCTGTCCTCCACTCGTTACCTGTATTAATGGCACCTGTTTGAACTTGTTATCAGTATAAAAGACACCTGTCCACAACCTCAAACAGTCACACTCCAAACTCCACTATGGCCAAGACCAAAGAGCTGTCAAAGGACACCAGAAACAAAATTGTAGACCTGCACCAGGCTGGGAAGACTGAATCTGCAATAGGTAAGCAGCTTGGTTTGAAGAAATCAACTGTGGGAGCAATTATTAGGAAATGGAAGACATACAAGACCACTGATAATCTCCCTCGATCTGGGGCTCCACGCAAGATCTCACCCCGTGGGGTCAAAATGATCATAAGAACGGTGAGCAAACATCCCAGAACCACACGGGGGGACCTAGTGAATGACCTGCAGAGAGCTGGGACCAAAGTAACAAAGCCTACCATCAGTAACACACTACGCCGCCAGGGACTCAAATCCTGCAGTGCAAGACGTGTCCCCCTGCTTAAGCCAGTACATGTCCAGGCCCGTCTGAAGTTTGCTAGAGTGCATTTGGATGATCCAGAAGAGGATTGGGAGAATGTCATATGGTCAGATCAAACCAAAATAAAAAATTTTGGTAAAAACTCAACTCGTCGTGTTTGGAGGACAAAGAATGCTGAGTTGCATCCAAAGAACACCATACCTACTGTGAAGCATGGGAGTGTAAACATCATGCTTTGGGGCTGTTTTTCTGCAAAGGGACCAGGATGACTGATCCGTGTAAAGGAAAGAATGAATGGGGCCATGTATCGTGAGATTTTGAGTGAAAACCTCCTTCCATCAGCAAGGGCATTGAAGATGAAACGTGGCTGGATCTTTCAGCATGACAATGATCCCAAACACACCGCCCGGGCAACGAAGGAGTGGCTTCGTAAGAAGCATTTCAAGGTCCTGGAGTGGCCTAGCCAGTCTCCAGATCTCAACCCCATAGAAAATCTTTGGAGGGAGTTGAAAGTCCGTGTTGCCCAGCGACAGCCCCAAAACATCACTGCTCTAGAGGAGATCTGCATGGAGGAATGGGCCAAAATACCAGCAACAGTGTGTGAAAACCTTGTGAAGACTTACAGAAAACGTTTGACCTGTGTCATTGCCAACAAAGGGTATATAACAAAGTATTGAGACACTTTTGTTATTGACCAAATACTTATTTTCCACCATAATTTGCAAATAAATTCATTAAAAATCCTACAATGTGATTTTCTGGATTTTTTTCCCTCATTTTGTCTGTCATAGTTGACGTGTACCTATGATGAAAATTACAGGCCTCTCTCATCTTTTTAAGTGGGAGAACTTGCACAATTGGTGGCTGACTAAATACTTTTTTTCCCCACTGTACACACATTCGGAGATATACACCCGGTAATGAACACATGTAAAAACACTCTTAATTGGTTAATTGGAGATATAGGCTAAGAGGCCTGTCACGACTCACTACTTTGAGTTCATAGTTCATTGTGCGTGCGTGCGTGTGTTTGTTTGTGTGTTACTTTGTGTGTGTATATGTGTGTGCATATGTGTGTGCTTGCATGTGTGTACATGACTACATGAGTGTGTGTGTGCATGTGTGTTTCTGTGCGTGAGAGCTTTAGTAGAGTGTTCAGTAATGCCCGTATAAAGTAATCAGTCTGACCAGTGAGGCGTAGAGAGAAATAACCAGGGGTGAAAATATTCACAGCAATTACATTTAGGAAGCTAAATAAACAACGCAATTGAGACGCAAAGCATCAATAGGCACATGAAGTGTCTCTAATTAGACATTTGCATTATTCATTTATAAGAATACCATCATTATTTAGCTTAATGCACATAAATGAAGGATTCAACAATGTGAATAATAAGATGAAGAAGGGAAATATAATGTGTATTCATGCCAGTATACATACAGGTGCCTGGCCAATAAGAAACGGACCTGCACTTAAGTTTTTCCATGTATCTCTCATTTTAGTCATTTTAGCATACACTCTTATCCAGAGCGACTAACAGGAGCAATTACGGTAAAGTGCCTTGCTCAAGGGCACATCGGCAGATTTCACCTAGTCCGCTCTGGGAATTGAACCAGGAACCTTTCGGTTACTGGCCCAACCTCTTAACCGCTAGTGCAACAGTGTCACGGCACTTTTCTGCACAGACTCAAGATGATAAGTATAGGCTGTACTTAGATTAAAACGATGATTAGAAGAATGTTGGGATGCAATAGTGCCTTTGTTGACTTGATTATCCCACTCACTCTATATTGGTTAGGATCCCCTATAAGCTTGTTGTGTTCACATATAGTAGGAGCAGTGATCAATCATTGTGGAATAAATCAGCCCTTAGTGACATATCCACTGATGTGGTTGTGTATCTTGTCTGGCCCAGCCCCCACACATACCCCTTAGCCCTGAGAGAGACAGAGAGCTAGAGAGAGATAGAGAGAGAGAGAGGGAACTGTGACTCACTCTGAATGTATGAGTGTAAGAATGTGTGTGTGTGCATTTGTATCTGTGTGTGTATTATGTTACAGCGTGTGTTAATTTGACTACTTTGCAGTCAGATGACAGTACCACTGTACAATATGACGCTCAAATGTGCCAAGTGCGGAGTTATCTCGTCGGCTGACGTTTCTACCACAGCTACCAGTAACGCCATGTTAGTCCTGCTAATTATTTACCCACATATTCTATACTGCTTTCTCTACCTCTGTTTACTTTTCCTTGACATGCCTCCTCTACTTCCTCCTCCTTCGCTTGTTTTTATATTTTCATTATTCCCCCCTTTTCATTTCCTCTTATCCCCTGTACCCTCGCTGAGAATCACTGGGAATTAGTTCTCCAGTGTTGTTGTTGGAAGATATGGTGTGTGTGTGTGTGTGTGTGTGTGTGTGTGGACGTGTTTAACTATACTTGTGGGGACCAGAAGTCCCCACAAGAATAGTAAACCAAGAAAAATTTGACCAACTGTGGACATTTTGTCTGTCCCCACAAGGTCAAATGCTATTTCTAGGAGGTTTAGGGTTAAGGTTAGAATTAGTGTTAGAGTTAGAATTAGGTTTAGGGTTAGGGTTAGGAGATAGGGTTAGGTTTAGGGTTAGGGTTAAGGTTAGGTTTTTTGGGTTAAGGTTAGGGTTAGGGTCAGGGTTAGGTTAGGGGTAAGGGAAAATAGGATTTTGAATGGGACTGAATTGTATGTCTCCAGAAGGTTAGCTGTGCAAGACTGTGTGTGTGTGTGTGTGAAGCACAGACAGCAGAAAAGCAGCTTTAATATAGGCCAGAGTAAAAGTGCAAGGCTCAGTGGCTTTCAGCTATGTAATGCCCCCAGGATATGGATGGATACAGTAACACTACATCTGTATCCGCATGGAGGAGGTTTTCACGGGCAGTGCACTTAACTTATCAATTAGTGTGTCTGTGTGTGTGTGTGTGTGTGTGTGTGTGTGTGTGTGTGTGTGTGTGTGTGTGTGTGTGTGTGTGCGCATTGGGTTTCTGTGGCCAGGCTTGATGTGTCGCTATATTTTATGTAATGTGGTTTTCAGTGGGAGTGTGTCTGAATGCTTTTTTTAAATAACACCTAGATACCTTTCATTCAATCAACTCAGGACAGAGTTAAAAAGTGCACATGTAAAACAAAGAATCTGAAGAGTTGAGGAGTTAGGGAAAGAAATAAGAATGTTGGTGAAGGAGAGAGAGAGAAATTGTCCTGTAGGAACATATGGACCAGAAGAGAAGTCCTTGTCAACTGAATCATACCTTTGCCCTCTGCCTCTTGCGTTTGTCTTTATATTACGTTTCTTTGCTTCATTTCACTTTAAACACCTCAGCTCCTCCTTTTCCTGTTGCTCTTGGTCTCATATGTTTTTTGACACATCCTAAACATACATGCATATTGCATATGTCAGTTATGGAACATATATTTCAATTGATTATGGATGTATGTTTTTGTGTGTGATATTAGCATATTTACGGTAGCTAGTGTAAGTATATTTAAAACATCAAGCTATGTACCTATACCTTGTTATAGGTATATTATACTGTACATAATGCCAATAATTTCAACAACGAGGGCAACATGCAGTACATAGATACAGTTTTTAGTAGTAGAGGCTGTATGTATTTCATTTGAAATACTTCTATTGTAATTAGAAAGATAAATGTAGTTTGTAGTATCATTTAATCCCATTTCAAACAAGTAAATCATGCAAAATCGTATTAAATAGAGACAGTTCTTTTCCAGCAGTGTAGTCTTTCCTGTGTATCTTCAACTGTGTAACTGACTGTAGTACTGACCCTGGCACTGGGCTGCTGTTCCCCTCCCATCCTCCAGGGCATCGCTGTGGAGCTCCTGTGTGGTTCTGCCTCTCCTCGCCCTCACCTGGATGTCTGCTGTCCTGGCCATCACCGACCGACGCTCCTCCCTCTTCCAGATCCTGTTCGCTGTGTTTGATTCGCTGGAAGGCTTCGTCATCGTCATGGTGCATTGCATCCTGCGCAGAGAGGTACGTCATTCTTCACTCTGTTGTCACTCTGACACATTTCACTTTGATGATACTCTGTCTCCTACTCTGTGTTTCTTTCTTTCTTCTTATTATTATTATTTTTTTATTAATTTTTTTATTGGTTGTTTGTTGAGGCCCTGTGCTCCACTGGGAGCTAAAAGAAAAACGTTGATTAAGTAAACTAAGTCATTAGTTGTTTTGAGGGTGATGTGGAAAGGAGGATGATGAACAGACAAACAACTGACTGTGACATTGAAAGGTCATGACCTCTGTGTTTATTATGGTGTATTGTAGGTTCAAGAAGCAGTGAAGTGTCGGGTAGTTGACCGCCAGGAGGATGGGAATGGAGACTCAGGGGGATCTTTCCAGAACGGACACGCTCAGCTTATGGTAGTACGAATGGAACATAATTTTTCATCTAAAACAATGTCTAATATACTTTATGTGTATTACATGTACTTTGTTAACAAGTTTTCTATTGTTTTGTTTCATTAGACTGATTTCGAGAAAGACGTCGACATGGCTTGCAGAGGAGGTAAGAGTACCGGCAAAAAAAAGAGTGAGTTTATGCAGTGTGTCCGTCTGTCCGTCTGTCTGCATCTCTGTCTGTCTGACTCGATACAATTCTCTCTATGCATGTGGAGTTTTCTTTGAGTACTGTCATTGAAAAGATGCGTCTGCTTTACCCTCTCTGCTCCACGCGTATTCTGTGTTAGCAGCACCCTCCCATCCCACTCCTCTCCACCCGTTGTCAGACCACTGCCGTCACAGCAGCCGCCCCTTATGAAGCGCAAAACACTGTTTTGACATGAGATGCACCACATTACTGCAGCATAACGCAATTTAGCCCAGCCATTTGGCAATAGGGCGGTGGAGTGGGAACGAGTGCTGAGCAGTAATATGCGGATAAATAGGGCTGTCTGAGTCTCCCACATCTTCCACCACATCCACCGGCAGGCAGGCAGACCGTGTTATAATGAAGTACCGACCAACAGTGTGGTATCAGATAGAGGCTCTCCTCTGATATCCGTTGGGAGCGAACGGGAATCTGATTATCTCCCGAGACAGGATATCAGGAAAAGCATCTGGAGCAGAAATGCTATTTTTCTTTGTGTGAGTGTGTGTGGCGCTTGCAACGCCAGGGTTGTGGGTTCGTTTCCCATGGGGGGCCAGTATGAAAATGTATGCACTCACTAACTGTAAGTCGCTCTGGATAAGAGCGTCTGCTAAATGACTAAAATGTAAATGTAAGATATTTTGTCATGCTGACAGGATGTTGTCTGATGCTGTTTTCCAGTCCTGTGCTCAATAGTGAGATGCACACCACAGCAAGTCAACAGATACAGTGAAACAGGGTCAGGACATAATCTTCAAGCTAATGATCAGAAGTTCAAGGCAGTGTAGTCACTAGTTAAATCAACAGTGGGAAGGTTTGCATGCCCAATCTGAGTGGACAACGTGTGAGAGTCCCACTCTCGTGTATCCTGAGGGTGATAATCTAAAGCTCTCTATAGAAAGAATAGGGAAAAATAGCGTGGATAATAAAGAAAGAGCGAATAAAGAGAGGGTAGATAAAGAAGAGAAGAGAAAGAAAGAAAGAAAGAGAGAAAGAAAGCGAGAAAGGAAAGGAGAGAAAGAAGGAAAGGAGAAGAGAGCGAAAGAAAGAAGAGAGAAAAAAGAGATACAGAAAGAGAGAAGAAGAAAAAGAAAAGAAAAGAAAGCGGATAAAAAAAATAAAAAGGGAAAAAGGAAAAAGGCCCGACAGGGGAGAAAACCCAAGGGGGCCGGAAAACCCCCACCCCCGGGCGTTCCCCCTCCCCCCCCTTTCTGACCCCCTTTTTAGAGGGCGCCCCCCCCCAAGGGAGAAAACCCTCAAATTAGACGACCCCGGGCAAAATATCCTTCGCTTTCTTCTCAGCTCTACGCGCCGCGATTTTTTTCTCAAAAAAAAAAAAAGGGGGGGGGGGTTTAAAATTATGAGAAAATTGTCTCTCTCCTTCTCCCTTTCTCTCTTCCTCTTCCTCCCTCCCTTCCCCCCCCGGGGATACTCTGAAGCGCTCCTCTCTCCAGGGGGGGGGGTTGAGAAGCCGTCCCCCCCAGCCCTAAACCCTTCAAAAGGGGGCTCTAATTTTAAACCACCATGCCTTCCCCCAGAAGGGCCCAAAGGGTCCACCCCCCGGAATGTGGCAAATTCCCCCACCCAACCCTCACGCTGCGCAGGGAGAAGGGTGGCGCCACCAAGGGCATCAGCACCGAGCTGCCGGGAGCAAAGTCCATCTACATCTGTGACGGGGAGCTCTTTAAACAGCTCGACGGGGAGCTGTCTCCACAGGGGACAGGGGAGGCCGGGGGGCCTGAGGGCACAGGAACAGGCCCGGGACAAGGGTACATCATCCTGCCTAACAACAACAACACTGGCACCCTGGGGCGGCCCGGAAAGGGCAGCAAGGAGGACACGACGGCCAAGTACAACATCAGCATGGAGCAGCAGATGCCCCAGACCAGGCTCATCCACCTGGCCAGCTCGGTGGGGGTGGAGGGCGTGCCGGGTTTTGCGCTGAAGAGCCTGCCATCGGACCTGGTCAGTGTGTCCTGCTCGGAGAGGGAGTCGCCCATCCACAACATGCAGACGTCTCCGGAGAATCCCACATGACTAACAGCATGTGTGAACAGGGTGATTCTGGGAACTCTGGTGTGATGTCCAAGAGCGAGACCGTGTCCACGCTCTCCATGAGCTCCCTGGAGGTAAGACACACACACACATAGACACACATACAAACACACACAACCCCATGTCCTCACCACATGACTTGGGGAGGGAGATGGGACAGATTGGCTTTATGTTCCTTGATCAAAGAAAATATCAGAAACCAACCAGTGCCCTTTACTGTCAGTATGTGGTGGTATTGTATTCAAGGCATAGGGTTTCTGTTGAGATATCTTTATAGTCGTATCCTTTTCTGTGTAGTAACAGCACTGTAGTGGCAACAAGTACAGAAATAGCCCTACCTTGCCTGGCTCGACAGAACACTAAGATCTTTAAAAAGGTCAGATTTGAGTATTCTCTCATTGACAATGTGCCAGCTCAGTGGGGGAGCTCAAACTCAGACTGCTACACTGACCAGCACACACACACGCGCAGCTAGCTGTGCCAAGCCAGCCAGTCAGACAGACAGACAGACTTCTCAGCCTGCTGGTGTCTTTTCACCTCAGGGCCAAACTCGCTCCCCTCCCAAAATGCTGTGCGTGCAAGGTCACAGCTGCCAGGGCAACCAACAACCAACCAGCCTGAAGGTCTTCTTTCTCTGCTCGCTGACAAAGGTCACTCGGTCACAAGCTGTTTACTGCAAGGATTCACGCCAATGGGGTCAGGATGAACCAACATGGACGCTCAGTTTCTCATGAGTCACTGTTACCACTGAGAAACTGTCTCAGTCATTTTTACTGATTTGAAACTAACAGTGAAACAGAGTGAAATGCTGAGGAAGACATCACCATTTTGTCTAGTCAGACTCACACAGCATATCATTTAGATGATAGTAGAATGTATCTTTTAATCTTTCCCTCTTGTCTTTATCCAGAGACGAAAATCCCGCTACGCGGAGCTCGACTTTGAGGTAATTTCAGACTTCTGGACTGCATTTCTTCTCACATAATGTCTTGCTGGTTTGACAAACTGTCTCTAATGTCTCAATTCTGCTTCCAAAAACCCCCTAGAATTTACATAATCCCCTTTTCTTTATAATTATGGTGCATGGGACTGCATAGCAGATGATATACAGTACTGTATCTAAGCTTTGTAGACGTCTGTGGTGGATGGTAGCTAAATTCATGATTTTTCTATAATGGGTGTTTTCTATGCGTTTGGTCCATGTAGAAGCTCTTGCACAAGTTATGTTGTTGTTTAAGGTTGATGGATGTTTTTCTCTGGTCACACTAAAGTGGCACCATGGTGTGGTTTTTTAAAACACACGTTTGTGAAGCTTTTTATAGAGGGTTGATGGGGGTAAATGGAGGGTTTAATTTTTCCCTTTGGGGGTTTTGTTTTGTCCCAGTAGAAAAAATCATGCACCCGCGGGGGGAAAGGGGTAAAACCGGGGACATTTTCCGGGACCTGACAAGGAAGAAAAAGGGGGCAAAAAAGGGAAAAGGGGGGGTTGGGTGGGGGGAGGGGGGGGAAGGGGCCAGGGAAAAAGGGGGGAAAGGGGTGGCCCTTAAACTGGCAGCGAAAAGCCCAATAATTTAAAGCGTACGACACTCTGTCTCTCCCTTTACTTTCCCTCGGGTCTATTAAACCTCTTGTTTCCTTTCTAAAACCCTCTTTTTTTTTTTTGAACTTTCTTTTCCAGTTGTCTCTCCCAACTTTTTTTTAGACTCTCCCATAAAAGGAAAGATCCTTTTTCTTTCTTTGTTTTCAAATTTATAGTTATCTCTATCTGGGGGGCTCTCTATGCTGTTCTCTCTCTCTCTCTCTTATCTCTCTCTCTCTTCTCTCTCTCCTCTCTCTCCTCTCTCTCTCTCTCTCTCTCTCTCTCTCTCTCTCTCTCTCTATTTCTCTCTCCTTCTTTCTATAATTGACCCCCAAAATGCATGTCAATGCCTCAATATCACATTTCTTGCCCTTTGATGATTTAGTTTGTTCTCTGGTTGACCTATTCTCCTCTCCTGTCCCTCCCTCTATCCAACAGGACAAGCAGCAGACACCCAGTAAGAGAGCCTGGGAGGGCATCAGGAAGACCCACTCTCCCCCGTCGTGGATGAGGAAGGACCTGGAGCCCTTGGCAGCCTCTCCCCTGGAGCTGCAGAACGTGGAGTGGGAGAAGGCCAGCGCCACCATCCCTCTGGTGGGACAGGAGATCATGGACCTGCAGACAGAGGTGTGAGACTGAGACAGAGAGACAGACCGAGAGAGAGACAGAGAGCAGCCAACCTCGTCCCCCAGCCCAGCTCTCAGACATACAGGCATCTTCCCTTCCCACAGCTCCACATCTCAATCTCACTCTGGGAACCAACGACCAACGATCAATGACCCAACGAAACGGGCAGGGGTGGAGAGAGAGAGAGAGGAGAGAGAGAGGAGAGAGAGAGAGAGAGAGGAGAGAGAGAGAGAGAGAGAGAGAGAGAGAGAGATTTCCAAATGAAGGGGGGAAAGAGAACAGATTTACAGTGCATTTTGTTATATTTTCTTATTGATGCTGGAATCAGTTTTTTGTTTACTATGTCAGAAAGTCATATATCTGGTCTGTTATTATCCACATTATTACTTCACTGGACACATGCTTGAATCCCTCTCCCCCTCCTGGTAGATCTCTGTGGATGGTTAGTTAGTTAGGCAGTTGGGTGGTGTAGGTGGTGTAGGTTAAAAGGACAGACTGCAACTGCCTATGGACTCTTCTCCACCCTGCTAACAGATCACCTGGACCAACCATACAGTTCACGTTCCAACCAAGCCTATAGGCAATGGACCTGGTCTGGATGAGACCTTCACCCAACATACAGTACATGTTCCAACCAAACTACATGTCCAGTACATGTCCCAAACACGCCTAGGCAGTGGAGGAGGCAGACTGCCGGACCATAACCATGTGCCTCTCCATGCCAACCAATAGCCCCGCCCCGCCACCCTCCACTGCACTGTCAGACAGAGTCCCCACCCCCTTGACAGGAAGGGAGCAGACCGATGACATCACAGTCAGCCAAAAGGGCGGGAAACCCTCCCATTGGTGGGTGCGATTGGTGGGTGCGATAGTGACATCAGCATAGACCAACAAGGATGAGATATCTCATTTGCAGATGCTCTTAATGACATCACAGAAAGCCAAGATGGCCAGATCTCATTGGTGGAAGCATCTATGACCTCAGCAGAAGCCAAGGAGACACTGTTTTGATTGGTTGCTTGATGTACGAACAGGCTTGGTACATTTGTGGCAAATATGATTCTGCTTGTTCGGTAAATGCAGGTGGTAAAAAATGAAGGATACTCATGTCACAGAGTAAATAAAGAATTATGCTTAATAATGACAATGGAAATTAATAAATATCAAAAATATATGATAAATACTGTATAGGACATTACAGAGGTTGTGACTCTGCAGTATGGGGTTTGGATTAGTTGCACACAGAGAAAGCACAAGGCTCTTTTGGAGTCCTGTTGTACAGCAATGTAATTATTTCAACAGAGTTCTACAGAATGAATTTTAGCCTATAAATATCTTTCTTACTGTGCTTGGGGATTATTGTTCTCATTATTATAATTATGACCATGATTATTCAGATTACATCTGTGTCTGAAATGGCACCCTATTCCCTATATAGTGCACTGCTTTTGACCAGGTCAAAAGTAGTGCAGTATATAGGGAATAGGGTGCCATTTCGAATGCGTATTATAATTCCCCGCCCATCCTTTTCAGGGTACTGGAATATGAGTGTTCTGTAACTCCATGTAACAGTGTGTGTTTTGGTATCACTGACTGTCACTCCCTCCTCAGACCTGTACATGTCTGACATGAACCCTGACCTTTAACCTCCACTGCCCCCTCCACCTTTTTAGTTCACTCGGGTTGACTCTTTGTTAATGTACAGTTTTCAGAGCACAAAATGAATGTGTCATATTTCTAATAAAAGTATATCTATATAATAAACAGTACATCAGTTGTCCTGGTACATTTGTACTGCCAATATTCCTAATATACCCTATTTAACCCCCTAGAGTCGATTGACACACCATCAAAATCCGTCAGTTTAAATTAGAGATATTCAGATTTTTTGCATTGGATGCTTCTCAATCCACCGCATCAGCCAGCGTCGCACTTTCGCATCTGCGGTGAAAGGTGGCAGACCTAGAGCGGTGTTTGTCAGACCATGAGACATCCCGAAAATCGGTCTTCTCTCGAAAACGTCTGTAGCGTCCAAACGGTTTGACCTACAAACTATTATGATCACTCAATGGAAAGGGAATTCTCACGAACACAATGTTGATCCCCCACAAGTGGGACAGGAATCGTCTGAAGGTAACCGGTACCGGTTTAAAAAAACTAATGAAAGTATGAAGGTAGTTTTGTGCCTACCCCAAAAAAGGGGTTAAATGTATAAAATAAATATATATACACTACCGTTCAAAAGTTTGGGGTCACTAGAAATGTCCTTGTTTTCCATGAAAACATACATGAAATGAGTTTGAATAGGAAATATAGCAAATGAATAGGAAATGTAGTCATTGACAAGGTTAGAAATAATGATTTTTAATTGAAATAATAATTGTGTCCTTCAAATTACAGCCTTGCAGACCTTTGGCATTCTAGTTGTCAATTTGTTGAGGTAATCTGAAGAGATTTCACCCCATGCTTCCTGAAGCACCTCCCACAAGTTGGATTGGCTTGATGGGCACTTCTTACGGTCAAGCTGCTCCCACAACAGCTCAATAGGGTTGAGATCCGTTGACTGTGCTGGCCACTCCATTATAGACAGAATACCAGCTGACTGCTTCTTCCCTAAATAACTGAGCAAAGTCCAGAGCGCTGAGGACCTCAGACTGGGGCGAAGGTTCACCTTCCAACAGGACAACGACCCTAAGCACACAGCCAAGAAATTGCAGGAGTGGCTTTGGGACAAGTCTCTAAATGTCCTTGAGTGGCCCAGCCAGAGCCCAGACTTGAACCCAATCGAACATCTCCTGAGAGACATGAAAATAGCTGTGCTGCGACGCTTCCCATCCAACCTGACAGAGCTTGAGAGGATCTGCAGAGAAGAATGGGAGAAACTCCCTTAATACAGGTGTGCCAAGCTTGTAGCGTCATACACAAGAAGACTGGAGGCTGTAATCGCTGCCAAAGGTGCTTCAACAAAGTACTGAGTAAAGGATCTGAATACTTATGTAAATGTAATACATTTGCAAAAAAATCTAAAAAACAGTTTTTGCTTTGTCATTATGGGGTATTGTGTGTAGATTGAAGAGGGGGGGGAAACAATGTAATCCATTTTAGAATAAGGCTGTAATGTAACTCAATGTGGAAAAAGTGAAGGGGTCTGAATACTTTCTGAATGCACTGTATATATTTCCTGAGTTTCTCCTAGACTTTGGACAGACACTTTCAATGCGTTTGTATGGACTTTAATAGTAAAGGCCAAAATCAATATTTTATTAAATAATTTTGTAATGATTTGTTTTATACCTAAATGGATCCTAAAATTCCAAATCAAATAGCTAAATGATCCATAATATGACCGTCTTAAAATGTGTCAGCTTAGCACCCCCTCCCCCAGCGTTTTACACTCTCCCTATGCCCCTATTTGTTTTTGTACTGTATGTTTAAAAAATATTCCATGAATTGACTCCAAAAAAATGAGTTCCATAATGCGTATTGTCAAAGCACAAGGCATCCAACGCAATTACTGAGGATATGACGGCTCGAATGGAGGATGTATTGTTGTGTGCGCTCGTGTGTTGTGTGTAATGTTATCCATACGTGTGTGCTCGTGCTTCAGTGTGTGTGGAAGAATGGGGAATGGGTGTGGCGTGAATGACCTATGTTATACGCCCTGAACAAACCCAATTGAGCAGACGCTGCATCGCTAATTAAGACTTAACTGCTCGAATACAGTCAATAAAAGGTATGTATAATTAGATTTAAGGAATACATCAACGGTGGAGTCACTAAGGTTCAGGGTGCTGAGAAAATACTATCCAGCACAAATAGGGGATATTACTCCATGTCACTGCAGAGCTGCTAAATGTCCTCACCCTAATTATTGGGCTATAATTTATTCCTTAATTTATTCACAATGGATCAACTTTAGACATTTTAAGTGGGAGCGAAGCCAATGGAGAAGGATTTGGGAGACTACTGTACAATACAGGAATGTTTTAAAGGTATGCTGGACTGCTGGACTAACCACAGCTCATCTCTAAGCAAAATAATGAGTTGTAGAAATTGCATGAAATTATAAACACAAAAGTAATTTACATTTGACCTGATCTGCCATAAGTACTTTGGACAGGCTTTATCAATCTAAATGTTACCAAGGTACAGAGGACCAGAACACTGGTGGTTTAGGAGTTGTTCACCTCTATGCAGAGGTTTGTCCTCCAAACCCCTCAAGCCCTCTATCCTCCACTTCTCCCTCAAGGCTGCAGTGCCACTCAGAGAGAGGAGGCCAGCTGCACAGTGGACCACACTCACTGAAACACTACTCCAAAGAACAGCATCTGGCCTTCCACGAACAGACAACAAACCACTGGGCATTGTTCCGCTTCCTGATTCTCTTCTGTTTTAGCTTTGTGTTTAAAAAAGTATATTTGGAGTTAGACTTTTCATCTGGTATCTGGAGTTCTGTCTCCCCCCCTTGTCCCCCCATGGTTGGGCACAGATTATGTTTTATTTGTGTTTTTCAGAACAGGGAATGTATGTGCAGCAGTGTCACAGGGACTCAGAGAGAAGCTGGCACTAATTTAGGCTGACAGGGTCCAACAGCCGACCTACCACAAAGCCCAAGGCTGTGTGTGCGTGTGTGCGTGTGTTACAAACACACTGACTCACCTTCCTCTCTCCTCTCATCTCCTCTCTCATTCACAGAAAAGCCAACCTTTCTTCTCACGCAACCACCGTACTAGTCCTGGTTCAAAGTCCAATGAACAGGGTCTCTAAGTATTACAACCCCTGCAAATGAGTCTGGTAGACCTTCCTTCGCTGGTCCCATATACACAATAGAGTGCCTTCAATGATCCAGCGTGAGCCGTAGTCTTGTTAGAAACCTCTAGTGCCCATCATTAGTGTCCATCCATAGATATTAGCCTCACATTGTACATTAGGCAATCAGCAGACATTAGGTTCAAATTTAGCCTCATTATACTATGGACTGGCATTAGGTTTAAATGAACTGAGAATCAAATGACAGGAGCTAACGCTGGCTGCCTATGGACTCTCAGAGTGCTCCATCCTCACTGAGGCCGGCAGAAAAGCTACAGGAGGGAGGATTAAAAGAGCTGGAGGAGAGAGGGAATGGAAGAGCTGGAGGAGAAATCTCCCTCTTCAGCCTCTTCACCATTTGTGCCCTCTTCCGCCCTCCCCTCTTTTCCTATCTTCCGCTCATCTCTCTCTCCCCCCATTACAAGCCTGTCTATGCTGGCTCCCTAAAGCTTGTT